CAGATTTCTTGTCTTTTTAAATAAAATGGTTGCATTATTTTGATGTCACTTGTTTTCTTTTGATTCAAACTTGAGGTGAAATCCACCAATCACACCTTTAGCTGCTCAGTGTGGTGGAACCAGTGCACCACCTAGTGGATTATGGAGGAATAATATTAACCTTTCACATATCCACACTACATCCATCACCACTCCCCAATAGCAATACTGAGAAGATCTGTTCCACTAGACAAAGTCTCTCATTTATTGTTGACCGTATATACTATAATGTTAGACGGTAGCTATAATAAGGAGTATAAAGCCTGATTATACTACATAATATTTAGAAAACCTACACAGAGAAATGATACAAGCATTCAATATTTGGTACATTTTTTGTAGCACTACTGCAGCCATTTTGATGAAAAATAATTGGTGTTACTTATTAAATGTTAACTTATAAAGTGGCCATTACGGGAATATAAACTTTTGAATACAGAATATTTACTAGTAAACGATTTTAAGAATATATAAAACGTTTTTTCTTTGTATTTTTTATATATAATTACATCCCAATGTGAAGTACATTGCTTAAGCTTGATTTGAATTGAAATGATTATTACCCATTGTACCTAGGCAATAAAGCGAGGTGCATTTATTAGAGTAAAAATAAATACATGGAAACTTAAGCTTAATGTTGTTTGTTTCTTAGTTTCGCTGTTTGTACAAACATTTCCAGGATATAGTCATACGCTTATTTAATAATGGAACAAGCATCATGGGGCCACACGCTAGAAATAAAGTGCTTGAGTGGTTTGAGGCCTCACAAACATTTTGCCTCAACAGACTATGAGTGCATTTATGAGTGCATTTATGGGCATCGCCATTCAAGTTTAGCCAATCGAAAGAAGTGATTAAATGCACGAAAACATTAGAACAAATACCTCTCAAAATGCAGCACCCTTGAGCATTAGCACTAAGTTAACAGCTTTAAAACAACTGTTGTACATGAGAACCTCGTATATGTGGTTTCCTGCTGGACGAGTAGAAACCTAAACCACAGTGCAAAGAGAGAAATGCAGTCTACCACGTTTTGTACCTGAAGTGAAAAACAAGTGTCTGGTGTGATGAATAACAAGGTTTATGCTTCTGCCAGTTCTTAGTTTAATTTATCCACTTTTTCATTTCAAAGTCTGCATTTCAATTCTGTCCAGGGCCTTTTTATGGTGAATAATTTACTGCGTCATCTTTTCATTCTGTTTCATTTCGTTTTAGTTTTCTTTCTAGTTTGTATTTGTTTTTGTTGTCTGTAGCCCATCCATATCAGCCTTAAAACGCACTCAGCTGGCATGAAAGGTCAGTTGAACCCAGTAAGTACCTGATGTTTATTATAGTGTGGCTTTACCCTCTACAACTGGATGCTAAGCCTTTTATTACCTTATTTATTGGTTAATAGTTTGTTTTTCAAAGTTACTAGATCATTAAAGACTTTGATTAATAACAAAAGCATGCCTTGATTAACACTAACTATATTTGATTTATTCAAAGGTACGTAGACTTGGGCAGTGAAATGTAAATTACATTTTTATTTTTATTTTCTGTCTGAAATGGATTAATATGGTCAGTTGTGTTAAAGGGTCAGCTCACCTTAATGAGAAAATGATCTCAAGTCGCATCTAAGGCCGTGGTTCCCTGACCCCTTACAGATGTATTCCATTTCAATAAAGTTGGGTCTTTTTTGTTAGATCCTCAAACTCCACACCTCCAGTTTCAAATGCAGGTTTTCTTTGTATAAAGAGCTTAATTTCAGGCAATTGTTTCAGACTTCAGAGCCACACAGAACAAAACACAACAACTTTCTAAGTGGAGGGCCCCTTTTTAAATGGAGCAACCTTTACTTGTGACTGCATGACACAGGTTTTGGTCTTATTCAATCAGGAAGTCCCTCTTAGTCTAAGTATTCCACAGAATGTTCTGAAACTTTATAAAGCGACTTTTTCTTTCAAATAAAATTCAAGCAGTATGAGGTTGAAAACCCATATCAATACTTAGATCAAATCAAAGCGACACCATCAGCGTTACTCGATGCTTATAAGTGAATAAATAGTTTCTGTTTATTTTATTTGGGTGAACTGACTCTTTAAATAGAAACTCAGATGTTGTTGGCAACAACATTTACTTGAGTATTAAATAGGAAACCAGAATTATTAATATATTTACAATATATTAATAATTCTGGTTTCCTAGTGAAATTTGAAATGTATACATTTTTACATGTCTACAAGTCTATCACTGATACTATTTTTGAACTAGTTTTAAAGGACTAAAAGAATAACTGTCAAAGGAGCAGCTTTGCGTCTGTATGAATGTTACCAAAGTCAGATTTCTTGTCTTTTTAAATAAAATGGTTGCATTATTTTGATGTCACTTGTTTTCTTTTGATTCAAACTTGAGTTGAAATCCACCAATCACACCTTTAGCTGCTCAGTGTGGTGGAACCAGTGCACCACCTAGTGGACTATGGAGGAATAATATTAACCTTTCACATATCCACACTACATCCATCACCACTCCCCAATAGCAATACTGAGAAGATCTGTTCCACTAGACAAAGTCTCTCATTTATTGTTGACCGTATATACTATAATGTTAGACGGTAGCTATAATGAGTATAAAGCCTGATTATACTACATAATATTTAGAAAACCTACACAGAGAAATGATACAAGCATTCAATATTTGGTACATTTTTTGTAGCACTACTGCAGCCATTTTGATGAAAAATAATTGGTGTTACTTATTAAATGTTAACTTATAAAGTGGCCATTACGGGAATATAAACTTTTGAATACAGAATATTTACTAGTAAACGATTTTAAGAATATATAAAACGTTTTTCTTTGTATTTTTTATATATAATTACATCCCAATGTGAAGTACATTGCTTAAGCTTGATTTGAATTGAAATGATTATTACCCATTGTACCTAGGCAATAAAGCGAGGTGCATTTATTAGAGTAAAAATAAATACATGGAAACTTAAGCTTAATGTTGTTTGTTTCTTAGTTTCGCTGTTTGTACAAACATTTCCAGGATATAGTCATACGCTTATTTAATAATGGAACAAGCATCATGGGGCCACACGCTAGAAATAAAGTGCTTGAGTGGTTTGTGGCCTCACAAACATTTTGCCTCAACAGACTATGAGTGCATTTATGAGTGCATTTATGGGCATCGCCATTCAAGTTTAGCCAATCGAAAGAAGTGATTAAATGCACGAAAACATTTGAACAAATACCTCTCAAAATGCAGCACCCTTGAGCATTAGCACTAAGTTAACAGCTTTAAAACAACTGTTGTACATGAGAACCTCGTATATGTGGTTTCCTGCTGGACGAGTAGAAACCTAAACCACAGTGCAAAGAGAGAAATGCAGTCTACCACGTTTTGTACCTGAAGTGAAAAACAAGTGTCTGGTGTGATGAATAACAAGGTTTATGCTTCTGCCAGTTCTTAGTTTAATTTATCCACTTTTTCATTTCAAAGTCTGCATTTCAATTCTGTCCAGGGCCTTTTTATGGTGAATAATTTACTGCGTCATCTTTTCATTCTGTTTCATTTCGTTTTAGTTTTCTTTTTAGTTTCTAACCTGAAACACAAGTTAAAATGCCTGTAAATCTTTGACATTCAGAAATTAAAAAGCCTCTCCGAACAGTAGAAAATAGAAAAAAACAATACATCCAGCTGCCTTTGCTTTAATCTAAAAGCTAAATGTAAAGGTTATTTCAAATCTTTTAAATTGTAGTCAAGTCTTTTCGTCTCTTAACATTTGAACATGTTCCCTTTAAAACGTTTTGAAAAGCTAGGTTATCATTTAAGACCATTTCAATAGTCTTACTGCATGTCTATACATTGAAAACACAATTGGTCCTTATTATTTCAGTAATTCCTTCTTTCCAAATTGTGAATATAATTGATATTGAATATGTTTTGAATGCTTAAGTCTTATAATCAAATATTAAAGCTGTACTTGGCTTCAATTCTTTTGTTTTTTGCAGCCAAGCCTTAAGCTCACATTATTGTCAATTGAGTCAGATGGCACGAGCCCTTCAGTCTTCAGGATGTGTGACGGAGGTCTGTCCACTGATGCACATTATCAAGCAGCAGACGCATCCTAACGGGCAGTCTGAATCATTTCCTCTACGATATGCACTTGGTTGTAATGCTTATTAAATTCCAGAGCCAGGTCTAGAGCAGAAAAGCTTGGATCCTAAGTGACCTGCACACGCTGGCTCTTACAGAGGGCCACATACAGAAACATATACCGAGGGCTGGGCCACTCGCTAGAGGTGAGTTACAGTATATTGCCTCATAAGTTCAGTTATAAGTTAGCAAAATCAATCAAATGTAGGTAAACTATGCTTGATACTTGAAAATGCCTTTTGTTTTTTAAACAGCCTACATCAAAGCTCTATAGGGTTTCATTGATTCTGTAACAAACAGTGTTGCAGCTCATCCCTTACAACAGGAGCCTCAGATTGCTCATAATAAGGGGAAATAGGAAGGGTTTATTTCAAGCTTGTTATGTAAATAAGTTATTGGGCTTTTTTCTTATCCACTTAAATTTGTTAGAAAATGTTTCCAACTTTAATTGACCGAATTTATTTGAAAAGTGGGCTTATTAACACATGAATACTACTGTGTAATATATGTTTTAGATATATATTTAAGAAGTACAATATAAGACAAGCACAAGTTTCAGGTGTGGGCCATATTCCATTATTCTTTTAGAATTTGCTGAGGGCCGATTCAAAATGGCCCCCGGGCCGTAGTTTGGACACCCCTGTGTTAGATCATTCTTAATCTGATCCTTAACTGTCAGTATTTTGTTTTATTGTTAATTTATTTCCATAGTGCCTCAGAAGGAACTTGCATTGTGTTGGTTAGTGCGTGCTTCCTCTTGTCTTCATCTTGAGGTTTGAAGGTGGAGCTACATGGAGTTCCTCTTGGTTTCATTTACTGTCAACCGCACTTTTAAGATCCAGTTCTTAAGTGTTGCATGTGTGCTGTCATGTTTTACATCACTGACTTACCTTAGGATCTTATTTAGTCTTCTGACAGTAATCAAGATGAAGGGGATCCGGTACCTGGCTTTCCTCGGGACTCTTTTCATCACACAGACTGGATTTGGTAAATTGAACATTTGCTACTTTTTTCCAGTTTGAAATATACTTGGAGTGTAATATGAGCAGTGGCGAACCGTCAGGGCTTTCAAGGTATTCAGAGAATACCCTGGAACACTCAGATAAAACAAACAAAAAATCGATTTAATAATATAAATAATAAAATGTATATAAAATGAATAAATGAGAATCTGTGTTGTTGATCTGTAATATTACAGTGTTACGTTGATTTGTTTGTCCTTCTCGGTCCATGCACTACGCATTTCAGTGGTTTTGTGGGTAATCTGAGGAAAGTCATTGTGATTTAATGTCTTATATGAGAACAGGACCAAATAACAGGAACAATGCACAAAATATAATATAGCAACTATGGAGAAATTGTGACAGATTGATTTACGTTTGTTCGATTCCTGGACTGATGTTTTTTGTGATATCATGTTAAATTATAATATGAGGTGTTTTTTTTAAATGTATATTGAACCGGCCCAATCGTCAATTGAATGTTTTATATTGTCAGGCATGAATATGAATCTAATATTACCACAACAGTTGAGCTTCAAAATGTTTCTTAATAAGCAACTTTTATTTATCACTGACACACATCTTTTTCACTCACAAATGTTCCTTTTTTATTTTAATTAAGTGTGCAGTGACATGGAGTTCCTGGAGAGGAATGAGGGGGGTTCTGTGGTGTTTCCCTGTGAGGTGGGGCAAAGTAACCCTTTCCCTTACGGCGTCTACCTGAAGCGCAGCTGGCTGAATAAAATTGAAGTTCTGTTCAAGTTCACCAACACTGACTTCACCGTGGAAGAAAATTATGACAAGAAGCGCATCAGTGTCAGTGGAGACCCGAGCACACACTCTCTGAATGTGACCATCTCTCAGCTGAGTGCCAGCGACACGGACCGCTACTACTGTGAGTTTGTGGTGGACAACCCTTCCTCTGAAGACATAAGAATACATGGGAAGACTGAATTCTTCCTCCTTGTTAAAGCTGGTGAGTGATTCAATGTTTTCCATCCCACTACTCTGTATATCACCCACAGGGGGTTAAGCTTTCCAAAATAAGCACAACAAATGTCAAATACAAGTGGTTGACATTTAGAAATTGTGCTTGGTGCTGTTTGTTCAGTGTGCTCCAACTAAGCCCCACTGTCTATTAAGGCATTCATTAAAATAGGTTGAGAACTATTATGATTAAGGTTTGGTCAAGGTGCTCTGCGACCAGAAGGATTGTGGTGGAACTGTAAATGTAGGGAGCATCAAAGAGCTAACTAAGGATAGGTTTAATGCAGGGGTGTCCAAACTACGGCCCGGGGGCCAAATGCGGCCCGCGTACCATTTTGAATCGGCCCTCACACAGCAAATAAAAAATGAGCTGCTAACAAAACAAATGAAACCCCATGGAGAGCTGTGATGTAGGCTGTTTTCTTCTTACATTTTCAAGTATCAAGAACAATTGACCTACATTGGATTGATTCTTCCAACTTATAACTGCACTTAAGAGGCAATATATGTCGCCTCTAGGGAGTGGCCCAGCCCTTGGTATATTTTTCTGTATGTAGCCCTCGTGAAAAAAGTTTGGACACCCCTGGTTTAATGGGAAGGATATTGGCCTACTTCAGTACAACCAAAGGTCACCCTCATTGTGTTTCACTGACTTGTAAAGTTGTAATAATTATTATAATCCTCATATCAATTATGCCTTTTTAAAACTGGCTACCATTAAGTATCTTTGCTAAGACTGTTTTGTTAATAGCTAAATACTCAGGGAAAGTGGAAAAAACGGTCAAAATCCCCATTCTGTAGGCCAATATCTACACTTTCTCTCCAACCAAATCACACAATTTGAAATGAATCCACTGAGAAATCCTCCTAAAAAGCCTTTGGCAGATATGTTGATTATTCACAGGAAATAGGATTTTAGCATATAAACCTTATTTTAAGTTGTATTCCTTTCCCCTCTGGAGACGCCCCTGGGTCTGTGGACATTGGGTTGGTAGAGACGTGTTCTGGGGGCTCGGCTGTACTCCCCTGCCTCCCCCCCCATGGGGAGGCCATGGCCGTGGAGGGGGTGAGTCTGAAGCGGCAGAGGGGCCGGGGACCCGTGGAGGTGTTGTACAATTCAAAGCACCAATATGGCAGCAGCCCCCCCTCCTCCTCCTCTCTGTTCCCCGTTGAGAGGGTGCAGCTGTCCTCGGCTCCGGGCCCCAGGGGCCTCACCTACAACCTCACCCTGCAGCTCCTGCAGCCGGACGACAGCGCCCTGTACAGCTGCCAGCTGCTTCTGCAGGGCGGGCCCCACACCAGCACCCGTCTGGGGAGACAAGTGTTCTTTGTCTCAGTGCAAGGTGGGTCACAGGAGGACTGGATCGCCAGGTTCATACTAACTCCATTTGGCTTTTTCAGGCTTTTGAAAATGAACGTTTCCTTTTCATACTAACCGTTGTTCTGTTGTTCCACTATTTGGTTCCTCCTTCTGGTTTGTGCTCTTGTCTCAATGGTTTCAGTGTGTGATGTCAGTCCAGCTCTGATATCTCAGGATGTCAGCCTTTGACTAACATAACTGCAACTGATGAAATCAATATCAATGGCTATAACTGTATATCACTGTTGTTGCATTATTGTTTGTTACTTTTCAGATAATGGTTTTGTAGACCATGTTCTGTGACTTATGCAAAATTACTTTCTATCTCTTCTGTCAGTTTCACAAACACTTACACAAAACAAATGAGGTGGAATCAAACTTCCGTGGTTCACTTCACTGTAACTCTGAACTAACTCACCACCTCTCTTTATTGAGTTTAAATCCAGCTTCTATTTGATATCAATTGTTATGAAAAAATAACTTCCATGTCATGTGACACAGTAGCTCTAAAACAATGCAGTTTTGTATGACTACACTGAACAAGTAGGACACCCCTCTTTTTATCCCATGACAAAAACAGCAGTTTATTATGTTTTAAGGTTTTTACTACACACAAATATTGTGTTTGAAAATGTGCTGAAGGCTCTATTTTAATATTGTACATTTGTTATTATTAATAATATAATTAGTCCTTAAATAGAAGGTGGAGTGAAACCCAATGACAACAGGTGTGCCCTGTTTGTTGTAGCGTAGTCATAGTGAAAGTTATTAATTTGAAGTCACTGGGTCACAACAAAATGTAAACTGACTTTTATTTTGTATAAAATAGAAGTGCTAAATTCCAATAAAGAGTTGTGTCCTACTTGTCCGGTGTATTAATACACCCAAACCAACAATGTATTGCTCTGACTAACAAGTGCTGTCTATTTCACTAAAGCCTGATACAGCTTATTCCTCTGTGCCATAGCGCTCAATTATTGTCTAAAAACAATTAAAAACACAAAGTTAGCCACACTGTGGTCACATGTTCCTTTGTTACAACCAACACATTAGTTTAGATTTCGTCTTTGAATGCTAAGCAGTTGACCTCCACCTTTTACTAAAGCCCCACAATGACAATCAAAATATATTCAAACTGCAGTCTACCACTAGGAAGGGAGTGAGAAGTTGGGAACACCTTTTTTTATTTACTCTAATCTAATTTCAGTGGAGAGTATGCGTGTTTGCGTCCAGTAAATGTGTCTCTTTTATCTTCAACATTTCTCTCTCTGCTTCTTCACAGGAGGTCAGTGTGGCTGCTCCCGGTACTCCATTCTGCTGTATGCTTTGTCCTCAGCTGTGTTGGTTCTCCTCCTCCTGCTTCTCCTGGGATTTGTGGTGATTTATAAAGTGAGTGGAGCCGCTCTAATACGACACTGAGAGGGGGAAATATGAGTGGCAGCACCTGCCTATAGAGAGCGTGCCAGAGAGTTCCTCTGCAGCTCACCACAAAACCACACGAGTTTCACAAGTTGTTGCTATCAGTTGTCAGCATGTTTTTCTTCAATGTAATGAGGAAGGCAGTGAAAGACTTATCTACTTTTTAGTTCAGTTTTAAGACCTTTTTATGAGTAAGGAACTCCTGTTATGTAACGGTTTAAGTTACCAGAAAACAGTTGGAATTTGACTTTGTATGGACTTTTTTAAAGATGCTGCCTCTTGACTAAAAAAATGACTAACTCTGATTTGAACAGGAAATCGAGAGTGCGTTCAATCTGTTTTCTCACCTCACTGATTTGTTTTTTTCCCCTGTTTTGATGTCTCTCAGGGCAAAGCACGCCGCAGTGTCAGGTCACACCCTCAGGCCCCCATCTACGAGGAGATGACCGGGGTAAAGAACGGCAGTCGGAAACTGCCACCCCAAAATCTGGAGGAAATGGAGCCTTCCGAGTACACAAACTGCACTGTGAAGAACTCCTGTCCTCAAAACCATTACGAAAGCCCGAGAGGGGCCCTCTGCCCCAGGAGTGGGTCTGAATAATGAAATATTAGATCCTGTTACCGACATGGTTTACTAAAACATCTCACACTCTGCTACCTGAAACTCACTCCATTCAGTGCTCTTAAGTTTCTCTAACATAATTGACCAGAAAGATTATCCACATACTCTCTCTATATTAGTTGCATCTGTTGACTGTTGGTAGTTTAAAGTCTTCTTGTGTTTTGAAGTTTTCTCAAGAACCTTTTTAAATGTCTGTTTTTGGCCTTTTCAGCAAATTAAAGTTGGCTTGTAGAATTGTTACTGCTCATGAATTATTGTGCCTTGTGTTTGTCTTCAGGGGCAAAACAAACATGTTGAAAGCATTTCCTTCATTATAACATTGACAAACTTGGTTTTTAGATTTGTAAATTTCTTGAGAAATGACAGCAGGAACCAGGTGGTACATTTGATCTGTGGCTCTTTACTGCACCTCATATCCTCTCTCCCAGCTCTATTACTCTCTATGTTTAGCTGTATACAATAAAGTTAAAAAAAAACATAAATACAAAAAAAAAACTAACAAAACTGAAACATATTTTAAGAGTAAGAATTCCTGCACAGAACCAGAGAGTTATCCCTGGATTTTTTGAGACAAAGCCTTAAGAACATTCGCAGCATACCGTTTATGATTGAGTGCTGTGTTTTTGTAATCATTATTTATCAGAAAAAAATATGACTTTTTAAATGGCATAATTATATATTAAATAGTTGACATTTGTGACATTTATTTTTTTGGACATTCTGTAACTATAAAACTATGTTTGTATTATTTTTATTGCGTTTTTAATTGTAATTTTTTATTACTATGATTTCTTTTAAAGATCACTGTATATCAACATAGCTCTCACTCGTAATAAACATTACATTTTCACTTCTGTCTCTTTACTGCTCTCATTCAGTATGCGTTGAAATGATCAAATATCGCTCTGAATCAAACATGAAATCAGAAACCATTTAAAAAAAAAAGAAGTGACAAAACACGGAGTAACAGCAAGAAAATTTGTATTTATTAATATAGTCCGAAAGAAGCTCCATAATTCATAGAAACATTTTTTTCCGGTGCATGTCCTTAACAATCACATTCTATGAGGAGAAAAAAGAACAACATTAAAAGCCACAACTTTGTATTTCAGTTACAGACATTTTTCCTTAATGTTTTTTTTTTCAAAGTAAAGAGAAAGGCAAAGGCAAAGTACCCCCATTCCATCCCCCACCCTCGTCCCCTTTAAAAAACTGACAGCCTTAAAAGTCATGGGCTTTTTTTTTCAGTACAACCCACAGTGCTTTAGCCGAAGGATAAGCGCTCATTGGTTAAGGATTACACAGCATGGCGACACAATGTAACATTTTGCTAAAACATTAGATGACGATGATGAAAAAGGAGGAAGGGGGAAGTGAAGGAAATTTGAGCAAGAGACAAAACAAGAACAACCCTACATCAAACCCTGAACCCCAGACTGAGTCGACAAACGCCCGCAGTACAGCAGCTGGGTTTGGACTCTTCCCTCCCACTTGTGCATAGATCATGATCCTTTAAAAACCAGCTTTACTCCTCCACTTCAAATCTGCCTCTGAAAACCTTCCGTTACATGTTAAGAAAACCTCTTAACATGCCTCTGAAAACCTTCCGTTACATGTTAAGAAAACCTCTTAACATGCCTCTGAAAACCTTCCGTTACATGTTAAGAAAACCTCCTAACATGCCTCTGAAAACCTTCCGTTACATGTTAAGAAAACCTCCTAACATGCCTCTGAAAACCTTCCGTTACATGTTAAGAAAACCTCTTAACATGCCTCTGAAAACCTTCCGTTACATGTTAAGAAAACCTCCTAACATGCCTCTGAAAACCTTCCGTTACATGTTAAGAAAACCTCCTAACATGCCTCTGAAAACCTTCCGTTACATGTTAAGAAAACCTCCTAACATGCCTCTGAAAACCTTCCGTTACATGTTAAGAAAACCTCCTAACATGCCTCTGAAAACCTTCCGTTACATGTTAAGAAAACCTCTTAACTATTGAAATACCTGTCACATGTTAACAGACAGGAGAGATGATTACAAACAAACAAATAAACTTCTTGCACAATGCTCCTGAACTACAGGATGGAAACTTTAACAATAAGTCAAAACATACAAATGCATTTTTATGTCACTGTCTTTTTGACAATCAAACCATTGATCAGGTTAAATGTAAAGCAATTCTACTTAGATTTCACATGTAAAGCACTCCACTTTTTTCAAAGTTGATTCTCAGTCTTATTTGGTAAATATATAACTTGCTACGAACATTTGTGTTGTTGCTTTCAAGAAAACAATGGTACTCTATGTTCTGTTAAACTCATGACCTTCAGTGCCTGCTTGGAGTTTAATTGTTTTCAGTTGGGTTTTTTTCACACAAAGATTAAACCTAGAAATGATGGAGTTGGTATCTGGAACCCTGGCCTTCCTGAGACATAATCCACATCTTTTATGAGTGTGCAAGATAGTGAGCAAACTGCGTTGCTTACAGGAAACATAACATCACAACTTACAGAATACATACAGATAGATAGTCTGTCGACGCTGAAAGAGAACTTAAAAATTGAAATATGACAACACTGATCAATCCCAGAGTTCTTAAAGTAGCATAAATCTTCATTTTGCAAAAATGTCATGTCCATATTTGATGGAAGATGATTTCTTTTTTTACAACATTCCTGTTATAAATTTGTATTTCCTTGAACTTCAGACAAATGAAATGCTTGTAAACGACAGGTGGCTTTTGCAAAAAAAAAACACAACCCCCCCCCCCCCCAAAAAAAAGATAGGCACCTTTGAAATGAGTCTTGTAACAAACTCACCTCCCACACTTTATCCCTTCCCATTTCTCCATGAAGTTAACATAGGGATTACTAGTCCTTCTACAACTATCTATGGCAACAGTTCTTTGTTTTTTTACCCCCTTTTTTGTTTTTGTAGGTTTTTTTTGTCTTTGTATTTTAAGATTTTTTTCATTTTTTATATAATTGGAACATAATGGTGCAATACTCAATGATAATCCTTGTATTGGATTACTCCACAATAAAAGCCACTATAAGGTAGATACACTTTTTTACAGATAAAATGAAACAAAATCCATTAAGTCCTTGAGTAAACATGTACACATGAATTGTCACCATCTCCCCTCCGTACTTAGACTCGTTTATCTACGATTAGCTGAGTGAGGGGTAGAAGACACTCAGTGCAACGTTAGAAGATAATAACATGTCTATCAAAACAGTTTTTGACAGGACAACAAAAAAGAAAAGTGAAAAACAGACACAAAATATAACATACTGAGTGGAACACAACAACAGGCCATTTGCCTGGTACACAGTTTCTTGCGCACACATTCATACAAACATCTGACTTTCAAGCACACATCTAAGATGACTTTGCATTTTTACCTCTAAGATTTTGTATTTGTAACTTAATGCAATACATTTTTTATATTCTCTAAGAGTCCCCCAAGTGTACCTGTCAGATGGAGAGAACTAGAAGAGAATTACTGACTTCACATTACATTATTGGCGCTCCATGATTCAAGTATTTGTGTTCAATATTTTGTCGTGTTTTGATATGTTTGAGATTTTTTTTTAGCGACTGGTTGGGTTGGGCTTTTAGACAGGCTAATTGACAAACAAAAACACATATTTACAGTACAAGCACTTCAAAAGTACTGTAATATGTCATCAAAGCCAGAACGTGCATATCCAACTCTGTGAGAAAGGCGTAGCTTTCAATCAATCAAGTATCAGTTTACACCCGACCCGAATTCTTTCCTTCGTTTCGCTTATTTGCGGGGAAAATACATATTGCTCATTTTTCAGTTGGATTTAACCAAGACCTTTCAAACGAAAATGAAACGTTTCAGAGGTTACGATCCAAGAAGTCTGAAGAGGTGATACCACACACTGAACTCACAGATATATATGTATACTTACTGTAGTGTATACATATATACTGTCATCTAGAACAGAGCTATAGAGAGGAGAACCTCTCGATGCTGGTGCAGCATGGGAAACCCCCCTCACTGTCAGGGTTCTCCAGTTAGTACAGGATGCTGGGAGGTCCTCGGCTATCGGGTCTGTCTGAGCTTGGATCAAGGCAGTTACAGAAACAGGCAATAGTGATTTTTGCTTGTGTGCTGCAGGACTGCAAGTCCTGAAAGGTAGCCTTTTCCCGTTTTCTTGTTAATTTTTTTTGTTTTTTAAACTTTTTTTTTTAGAATGTTTTTTAAGACTTTGTACCTCTTGAAATGTGCCCCTCCCCTCCTGCTGATGCAGAGCGAGGAGAGCGAGGCTGATACAGTGGGCCCAAGCCATCTGGGTCTGTGGAAATGTACAGTTCAGTGGGCCTGCTTTGAGCAGGACACAAACATAAAAACGAGATAAATACAGCATCCACAAAAAGGCACCCCGGCCACCACTCTACTCCGTTAGATGGTGGACGTAGAGGCTGATGAGCGGAGACGTTTCAGCTAGAAGTGCAGAGATTTAACATATTATAGATCTTTTTTTTCACTTAGATTTTTTAGCATTTTTAAGATTTTTATGTCAAACTTCATAAAAATGACGTTAAAATGCAATTTCATTTTTGGTTTTAAAAAAATATGTACCCGGGATTACCCATCATCAACTGTGCACTGTAGCAAACTGGAACCCCCAACTGAGTAAAGATTTTCTCCTTAGCATGAGGCATTCCCAACAAAAACACACAAAAAAAAAGAATCTCAGTCATTTAAGGGTGTGATGCTGCTGCCCATTTGTTTGATCCCTCCTGTCCCCCGCTTCACCCTCTGCAAAGGTTATCAAAGTTCCTCCCAACAGGGAACAGAAGTGCTCTCTATAAAGATACAGTATGACACAGCAAATTTATATTGGCACATTACGTTGGCAACTTTTACACGCAATAATTGGCCCAGAAACAGTAACAATAGGCCACCTTTTTAAGGAAAAGGATTCAATACAAGCCTTTTCCCTTCTAATTAGGATTACGTTCGAGGCATGAGGTCCGTAAAAACTGTTGCACAGATGGCCTTTTAATTTTAGACTTTGCTCTCACAGTAGAAAGGACATATATATACGGAGAGCTGCATCTCATACTTGGTATCATCTACTCCCCTACCCTGAGATCAAGCTGGACAGAAGTGTCTTCAGCGCAGAGAGAAAGACCGACTTCGAGTAAGTGTTCGGACTTTAATATATGACAGTGTTCTGGTGGCTGATCCTGACTTTAAAGAAACGGCGGCCATTTTTAAGTGCTGACAGAAGCGCACAGAGGGTGCAAGGGTTGGGTGTGCCAAGCTCTGGGAGGAGTGCTCATTCCCGAGTCAGGTTTGGCGTGCTGTAAAGGGCCCCAGCCTCTAGTCTTTTGCATAGAAACAGATAGGAGGGCCTGGTCAGGGGGGGGGGGGGCTACTGGGTCTGGTCAAGGAGGAGGAGGTCATAGCGTAGCAGCTAGGCAAAGGGCAAGGGGGGACAGCCTGCGGGCAGGCGGAGCAGCTTGGAGCAACAAATACCCACACCCGTCTGAGACACCCTATTTTTACATATCTCAAGATACTACCTGGAAGTACTACAGAATACTGTCAAACAAAAGCATGATCAGTTCAAAACAAATAGACAATCAATAACGCTCTGTAGTATTGATCCTTGTTTTGCATTCAATACACAGGATGAACATACAGAGGCACCTCTGACCAAAGTGTTTCTGCATATGAACAGTGAAGGGCTAGTTCAGCAGCCGGTATATTGTAGACCACTGCATGTAGACACCAATAACAATATAACACATTGAAAAAAATAAAGTCAAAATGATCTTTTTCCCAAAACATAAAAAGTACACTGGCAAAAACTCCAGAAATATGACTATTACATCTTCCAGCTAAAGTGATCTTTGTGTCAAAGGACTGAGAGATAGGGGAGAGGGCGAGACGCCAGCGGGGTCGGGTGGTGGTGGCGGCGGCCCCCCCCCCCCCTTTGGAGATGTTGTGTAGGGCGGAGAGCCGTGATTGGCCGGTTTTGGAGGGGCCGCTTTCCTTGCCAGACTGAGGGAGGGTCAAGTGGAGCCCGGGAGGAAGTGCTGCGCTGTGGGGCTGCCACTTGACACCCAGAGGACCACAGCAGAGAGGCACTCAGTGGACACTTCCCCCCCCCCCCCCACCCGACTCCCCTCCGACTCACCCACCGACTGACTGGCCAGCGGGCGTCAGAGACAGCTGACATTGCAAGTCTAGTGCCTCCAAGCAGAACAAGGCTTAACATTTGGAGTAACAGTGATATTCACTTCGATATTGTTCAAAGAAGGAAAAAATAAATCAGACTGCATTTTTTCCCCCAAAGTCCAACGGTACAATTCAGTTCCGTTTCCCTTCGTCCTGCTACCATAGGAACAACGCCAGACACATTTCCAAGGAATAGATATAGTACATAAAAGAGCAGTATTTTTAGTTTTCAATGTTTATGCTGCTCCTTTTTAGATTTATTGGATTGCAGTTGAAGCGATTTGCTCTTCATAAGTGCTATGATAAAACCCTTTGAATTTATAAAAGTCTTAGTTTCATTTGTTTGTACAGTACCAAACGCAAGGAACACTCGTAGGTCTACTGCATTAGGAGAAACCCCTCTTATTTGGTATTGTGCCAGATACCCAAACCGTCCAATCCCACTGTGGATTCAGTCTCTGTTGGGTGTGGCTGTGGCACGCAGAGAGGAAGTGTGCATTATTGTGTACCCAGTGTCATTCTTGTGTACAGTTTTGCTGTATGCACAGTTCAAAAGCTGTTGCTTCCTCTTTGCAGAGTTTTCCCAACAGTTTCAGGGGGACTGGCGGCCTGGGGGGAATCCAAGTTTTGAAAAAAGGGGGTAAGGTTTGTGAAGTTCCAAAGTCTTTTTGCTGCAATCGGCAACAATCGAAAAAAGCGAAACCAGCTCCGGTGGACGTAGAGTATGGACGGAAGAAAGGTCTATGGTGTATATTGCACAATGTAACTGTCACATGAAGGTAAATTGTGTCCTTTTTTTTTTCCTCCAAAAACTGGCTGACCATACAGACCGCTGGGCTTCATAACAAATCGGACAATAGAAAATTCAACACAGCACCGGTAAGCGCCTGGGTTGAAGGTGACCAGAAGGATCTGGGCTTGCAGACGTCAATGATTAGGTGCCACCGGACATAATAGGCATGTACGGAAACAGAGACACGCAGCGAGGTCGACAAATAATCTTCTGTCAGCTTATATGTTGTAATAGATATAAAATAATGCGCTTGGGTCTAGGCCTACAAATAAAGAGGACATTTAACAGCTGTATCTATCCCTTTGAGAATACAAATCAAATAGTTAAGCTGATGATTGGTAGGGCCAGTCACGTGGACAGGCCTTCTCTCTGCCCAGTGACAGAGTCGGTCACCAGTCATGTCCTGTACCACCTGCTGGCTCAGAGGTGAAACTGTGCAAGATTTCAGCTATTTCTTCAGTTAGAAAATAAACTAAAAAAGGCGGCTTGGGAAGGACCTAGGCCAGAGAGCACTTAAGGCTAATATTAGTGCTGAGAAACAAACGTTAACATAACTAGTAAAGGTCTTTGAACCACATCATTGGCCATGGACATGCTGGGAATGGTTGTTTTAAGTTCTTATTTTGGGATGATTCTTCTTCTTTTTTTGGAGGGAAAAGGAAAGTCTCAGATGGCAGCTTTGATTGCTTCTCATAAAAAACTTCACACAGAATGTCATGTATACTTATGGAAAAACTAAAAACACTTAAAAGGTTTCTTTGTGTTGCGTCTCATTTCAGTTAGTTTTACATGATCAAAAATACCAAAAGGGAAAAAATGTTTGCTTCTTTTCCCCAAAGGAGGTAAAACCAAACAAAAAAAAAAGGGACAAAAGCGAAAGCAGAAGGACTGGAGTCAGCAGTCTGTGTGGTAGGGACTCCCGCCTTCTGATTCACAATTCACAGTTCAAAACAGTTCAAATTGATACTGATTATCGCCACATGATTTGCTTGGGTTTTGCTCCTGTTTGTATAGACTTTTTTTCTTTTTTTATCACCCACCCACCCACCACCAATGCCTTACGTGACATGGTGGTGGTGGTGGTGGTGGGTTGGTTGTTTAGTGTATCGTAGCATCCTCCTACATGGACTCCCCACTCAGCAGGTCTCCAGGCAGCAGGGTGTTGATGGAAGTGGGGCTCCCGATCGCCCTGTGGTCCTCTCCGCTCGGGGGTCCCCACAAGCTGGAGTACTGGGGCACGTTGCCCCACAGCAAGTCGCCTCCGCTGGGCTTGCCTCCGCCGCCGCCACCGCTGCTGCTCCACTGGCTCATGGAGTGGGACTGTCCGCCTCCGCCCATCCTGTTCTGATTGGCTCCGGGGTTGGCCTGCCAGCTGGTGGTGTTAGCCCCCAGCGACTGGCCTTGTGCAAAGAAGCGGTTCACCTCCTCCTCCCCGGCAAACTCCGCCAGGATGGTGGTGTTCCCAAGCACACACCTTACAGAGGATACAAGAGGACATGTTAATGCTTTTGTATTTGAAATTGTTATTTTTACATTTCTATTCAACCAGAGATAAAAGGGACTCATAGTTTTCAAATAGGACAGGACACAACTGACATTCTTCTTAAAGCGAAAGGAACTGTTTTTTAAAAGGGCGCTGTCAAGCTTATGTGGTTTTTAGACCTTGCTAAAACCACATTTCGTGCTGCTGATATTTAAAAGTGGGTCACACAGATGGTTTCCATGACAACCATCTGCAGTGGCTGCCACTATTAGCAAAGCTAAATTAAGGGCAAACTAAATACACAGCTCTGAGATGGGGTTTCCACCCATTCAACTGTAATGTTTCAATACAGCTGACTACAGCATGACTCGCCACCTCCACTCTCATGTGACTGCCTAGTTACAAAAACAACATTGTCTACAGCAAGGGAAATCACCATTAATAAATCAGGAACATATGGTTTACCCCAAGTGTTGACCTTTTTCTCTTTAATTAGTTGCTTCACTTGGATATATAAAGGCAGAGGAAGTTGAGAAAAAACCAGTGAATGTCTCATGTGTGTCTGATTGCTAAGCCCACGTTGGCTGGTGTCAGGGATTTGCTGAGGCTTACATGTGCAGAGACTTCTGGGCTTTTGCGGCCTCGTCCTTGGAGCTGTAGCGCACCACAGCGTTCCCCTGGGTCAGGTTGAGGTGGAATGTGATCAGGGGGCCGTGCTGCATGCACAGGGTCCGCAGAGTTGAGCCATCAATCTGAAGCACAAGAGAAAACAAAAGCATTTAAAACAATTGCAAACCGAAAGCACAACATCGCATTTGTTACATTTTGAGTATACCAGCTTTACTCATGATAGACTGTGGCATAAATCAAGCAATAGCAGCACAGAGCACGTACCTGTGGGGTGAGATTCCTCAGCACCAGCCAGCTGCTGGTCCTGTTGGAGCTGTCCGTACTCCAGGTGGTTGTCTCTGTAACAGAAATGTCCAATATTATGTTAAGTGTTAATAGTAATAAGAACAATTAAGTGACTGAGCTGCAGAGTTTGTGATGATAAAGTAATGTCATTTTCCCCAAAAGCAATTATTTCGAGTTGGTTTAATAGTATATAGAGGAATAGAGTATGGAACAAATACATTGTATTTGTAATAGAACTCTAAAAGGGAGACTGTTTAAACTTTACTTTCTTAGTCTCTGTAATGCTTCTTCAAGGGTATAGAGTTTCTTTCTTTCTTTTTTAAAACAGAAGAACATCTGTTATCTATTCCCACACCTGATTCTTGTTTCTACTACTAGTAGTACTGATAAATGTACCGTTTCCTCTTCGGTCCTCAACGTGTTGTGTCAAAAAAGGTGCATGCATGTAGTTTAAATGAGGCTTCTTGCAGAGCCGGTAAACCTCAAAATGTCAGTTTAGCAGGGTGTGTTCACCCTGCCTTTATTTAGCGAGCGCTGTCAGTGAAGGGTCGCGCCTGTGAACCTCGGCACTCCTACACATGTGCAGTCAAGTCTGTGGTGGCAGGGTGTGAACTACATCATCAAAATTCATATCGGTAGCTTTCACTTGGTGAAAATCAAGTTTTTAATTTAAGAGCTATGTTGAAAACTCTCATTGTAAATTACATATTTTGGAAGAAAAAGTCTCAGCAGCAACATCACGTTTCCTCATAAGTTAATGGTGATTGTATCAGAATCAGAACTCTTTTATTTGACCTGCAGCGGGGACATTTACAGAATTACAGCAGCAAAGGTACAGTGCAGAATAAAGTAAAACGAGTAGACTTAAGTATTATATAAAAAGGCAGGCACACGCTAATAATAAACAAGATTTTACTAGATTTTAAAGAGATCTAGACTAGTGAAAATGAAACTCAGAAGTGTCAATAGACTAAGCAATGTTTTTGATGTATAGAATTTGTGTGACCCACCCACTTAAGAAGATGCAACATTTTGGAATGAAGATTTCCTTTAAATATTATGATCTGAAATGCAGTTTAAATTATAGTTTGGTTGAAAGGTTTAAAGCAATTGTTTGTAATAAGGACGGCTTAACGTCAGTTCATCAGGTGCTGCCAATAGGTTTGAATGCATTGCAGTTCAGAGCAGAGTACTAACCAGAGGTGTAGGAGTTGCTCCAGCCTTGGGCCAGGCCCAGGGAGTTGCCTCCCCAGGTGGAGGAGGGCTTGTTGTGGCTGAGACCCGGTGGAGGCCGGGAGGGGGCCGGGTTGCTGCGGGGCCCCTGAGGAACCTTCCACAGCTCGTGGGACAGAGAGGCCTGGCTCTGAGAGATGGGCCCTTGGGACCAGGTGGACTTCATGTCAGACATTTTTCCTTTAAATGGAGAGAGGGTAGAGGGTGAGGAGAGCAGTAACAGAGAGTAACACGGGTGTTATATTCCCTGGTCAACTAACTGGCTCTGCTAATGGCAACACTAGCTTAAGTGGCTCTTAATGTTAAATAATGTTTTTCTTTTCATTTTAAAAACTAACAATATGCAGTGCATCTACCTGAAATTGTTCTGCTGTAAAAGTGTAATAACTCATAATTCAAACAAATGTTAAAGCTCTGAAAATAGAAACTATGTTTAAAAAAGAAAACCGTCAAGTTTATTTTTCAGTTTCTAGTGTTGCTTTCTGGATTTATGCTGAATCTCTTTCCTTTAACCTCTGTGTCAATGCAAAAAAATGAATCTTAAAGCACACAAACAAACACAGGGTGTGTCTGGATGTCATGACCGACAAGGCCCAAGGGTGAGGTTTTCTTGTGGGTTGGGGAGGAACAGATGGTTGAAGGTCATGTTTAGGGGAGGGTTCTCTCTTAGTATTGTTAAAGATTCTAAAAGCACTGAACGCACAGGTTTACAGAGTGAATCGGGGTGAAAGAAGGGTCATAAACAGAGGTCAGGAGTTGGGTAAGGTATAGGATAAGTAGGGAGCCTGGGACTAAGTGCAGAATCAAGGCTTCAATTTGGACGGGGAGAGGTTTGGCAGGTCCACACATGGAGGGAAGATACGCTGGATGTGTACCTGAGCTGTCTCCATCAGAGGAAGACAGACTGAAAGAGCTATTGTAGCCACTGACTGGCCAGTCACTGCTGGGGGGGGGGCAGAGAGCCATTCTCCAGTGACGGAGCTGGGGAAGTGGCTATATGGTGGTAGAGGTGACCGTGTTGTAACCAGAGACAGAGAGGGAAAAAAGAAGAAGAACTTCATGTATGCATCAGTACAAGCACATGATTTTAGCGCCTGTGGTGTAGCCGAGACACCACAAGTCAGCATGTGTAAGTGAAGTCGTTATTAATGGTGTCACTTAAGACAGCATGTTTTGGGTTAAGGACTTGTGGTTATCTTAAATGAATACTTGTGGCTTTTGTTTCTGTTCATACCTCCATTCCTGTCCCGCAGTAGGTATCGATTGACGTCGTGGATGTTGGTGTTGATGGTGGGACCGCTGGGGACGCTGCCAGGGGTCATGTTGGGGTCATTCTCAGGGTCGATGTTCTGAAGACCCTTCCATGGCACACCGGGGCAGAACTCTGATGGGGGAAAAAAAAAAAAAAAGGTGCTTAAAAGACGGTTGAAAACAACAAATAATAATTTTTCACCATCTCATGACTTCCTCACAGTTTAAGCGAATCACACAAGCCACTGCTATCTTCATACTTCTTCTTAAAGCTATGCAACCGCTGCAGGAAATGACATGTTGATTTGTCACTTCCTATTTTTTTTAAACTGTAATAGCACCTTTATATTTGGGACTTTTTTGTGTACTGATTTGTCATGCTGTATTCATTTGATATTACATTATGTCACACAACTGTATGAATAATGAACAGGTTCAGCTGTCCCGTGCCTCTGGGTGCAATAAAACAGGAGAGGCTTGAGAATAGATGTAATTAGAAAACATATGGATTTATGGGGATTTTTAACATCTTTATTTGCATCTTTTCCTCACCTGGGGGCCAGTTAATGTTGGTCCCATTGGAGATCTTTTCATTCTGGCTCTTGCCAGGGCCCCAGCTATCTTGGGGGCTGGTGGGGGACTCAGAGCTGGACATTAGATTGTAGGGGCTGTACGAGTCCTCCATATGGGGGGGCTTCCCAGGGGGGCCGAGGGAAGAGGCAGCAGATATGGTACCTAGTATATGCAAAGACAAATAAAACAGATTAAATTCCTTTTACTTTTAAATGAGGACAAACTATAGGAACATACTCTTTTGAACTCATTCTTGTTCATCATAACATCAGCTGTAAGAGTCCACCATCCATAATATAAATTCACAAGAACGCTTTTTAAGAATAACATGCAGTCACTTTATTTAAATGATGCTCCGAGTGTTTTTAAAGGACATCAATTCATCTTTCCATCGGACATGGAAATCAAACATTGATGACACTTGCAGATAAGTGTATGAAGCTGATATCATGTTTTTTCAGTATTCGTTCTGAAGACGTGTGGGAAGGAAATGCCTAGAGCAAAGGCTGATTACATCTCAAGTGTTGAAATGGAAGGTGTAGGAGTCAACAAAGATCAGTTATAGCTAGTTTTCATCTCAAAACAATGTGCAAGCCAAATGTGTTGCGGCAGAGTAAACATTTGGGTGCTTCAACTTCAAATATTGCCTTAAATAATGTGTTGTCAGGGCTCCGATGTAGGAGAGGAGAGGTTTAGCAGATCAGGCACCTAAGCGACAAACTGGAAGTGCTTGAGCCACACCATGACCTTGCACTAAATATGTGTGAAAACAACACATGTCCTTTGCTCAAATGTGTGAGAGCGGAAGAACTAGATTGTGATTTTGATGAATCATGTGTTGCAGCAGTTGAGAAAGATACCATTATCAAGTTACCCACAGGTTTCCTGTGATAAAAAGAAGACTTGCATCATTCATCACCTAAGAACTGTTACAGGATTTGTATTTTGGAAAGTATTTTTATTTTATTTTTTATATTATATTTTTTATTATATCATAACTTAGTACTTTTTTCTTAACATAGGTAACATTAAGCTGTCTGTGGCTCTTTCCTGCTGTAACGATGCACATTTCCCCTCTGTGGGACTAATAAAGGTATTCTGATTCGGATTTTTCCAAATATTCAAAGATCTCAAAAAGTCCTACATAAAATTGCATTTACTTGAAGAAATTATATTTTCCTCATAATTAAAATCCTTGTTTATGTATAGCTACTATTATAAAAAATATAAGCTGCCTAGCTGAACTTAATAATAATGCAAATGTACAGGGGGCATGTATTTATGGATGACATGCACATTTATGTAAATAATAACTTCTTAGGACATAGTTAAAGGGTGGTGTTACCGTGCTTATTGAGGTTCTCCATGTTTGAGGAGTTGCCAGAGAGGCTGTCCATGGAGTTGGAGTGTGTCCACTGGGACAGGCGGGATTGGGGCTGAGGGGGCTCCTTCAGGGAAAGACCCCCAACCTCCATACAGTTTACATTCATGTTTGGATTCAGTCCAGCTGCACATAAACAAAAAACATTGTTTAATGGGCTGCAGAGGGAAACTGCTAATCTCGACAATTGGCAGCATCAGTATAACATCAGATTCTAATTGTTTGAGCAGAAGTATCCGCCTTGAGACTCACAGAGAGGGTAGGAGCTGTAGGCGTTGGGCGAAGACAGCGCCTCTTTGGTGTGCATTGAGTCGGAGAGGCCCGGGGACTGGTGTTGGCCTGTGTAGGGGTCATGGGTTGATTTGCCGGAACCATGGCCTCCAGCGTGGCCACCGGGGGGATGCAGACCAGCGGAGGAGGAGGAAGAGGAGGAGGAATGAGAAGGAACTTGCTGCTGCTTCATCAGCAGCGCTTGGTACAGCTGACGCTGGTGCTGCTGGATCTGCTGCTGCATGTTGGTGATTGTACGTGCAACCTGGGAGAGGAAAGACAATGTTAAAACAATTCATTGTGAAAAGCAATTTGGGAGGTAAACAAAGAGATGATTTGAATAATTTAGTGGCAAAAGCAAGATGGAAGAAACAATTATGAAAATATATAAAGAGAAAGTGGGAGGAGGAACGAACCAGAAATATTAGAACAAAATAAGATGATTAGGTTTTGGACAAAGCTAAAAGTGAGTCAGTAAAGCAAGTGGAAAAAAACCGTGTGATAAGCAATCCTTTCAACATGCCCTTCATCTGTCTGACAAAATAAACACATCCTTAGAAAAGGAGAACAAACTCTTTTCACAAAATGAGAAAGAGTGGTTAGCTGATGATCAACAAGAAGTAACCTGTTCCCATGCTTTAAAAAAAAGGTTTGAGCAACTCCTGCTAACATTGCATAATACTCCTCCTTCCTCTCTGTTCTCATGTGAGCATCAACATATTTGATGAAGTTGCGTCAGAGCTCATATGAGGTCTCACACAAGAAACGGATGACCTTCATGATCATACTTTCGTGGGTGTAAATACAGACTTGTTGACTCACTTGCTGCTCTTGTTGTCTAATGGGGCCGGAAACATTGCGTTGCGCCTGCATCATCTGCTGCTGGATTTGTAAACGCTGGTACGCCTGAAAGAAAAAGGGAACCATAAGAGATTACAAATAAAAGAGGCCAATTGTATCTACAGTATCTGATACACCTTATTAACCCTTCTATCTGTTGTCATGCATCTATAAATGGACACATCCTTAAGTCTTCATTGGGTGTTTTGTCACCAGTCATTAAATCATGAACCGTGTGCCTGGTTTCCTTTCCCTTTAGATTTAAGTCCAAAACACACATCCTCTGCCTCAGACCTCTAAATACACACTGCATTGCTAACAGGGATAGACTGAGGTGCTCTGACTCACCATTTGCAGTTGCTGAAGTTGGTACAAGAGAGTCATTTGTTGAGGGTTTATTGGTGAGGTTAAAAGTGCAGGGTTCAGACCAATGTTTTTTGCTGCAAACTGCAAGAGCTGTGCTTGGACCTGGAGGCAGGTATGGAAGAATGGTGATACGGAAGAGAGAGATGACAGGTTAGTCATTGCAATTCACAACCACTGTACAAAAGTAGCTTCGGGCAAGGTAAAAACTAGTCGCTGATACATGCACGCAAGGAGGAAAAGAGGAGAGAGGGTCTGCAAGAGGAGTCTTGTCAAGCCAAAAAGGTGTAGGAGTAGTATGCTTCCCAGAGACATAAATGTAGGTGGTGATGTTTTTTGACAGTCTTCACAATATATTTCTGCTTTTATGAAGAGTAGGATACTGAAATGATACCAACAGTGTTTTTGTCAAGTATGTAACTCAGTGAATGAGTCACAGTGTGTGTTTACTCCTTTTGGGGAAACCAGCACTATCTGCCATCCAACGTTTGACGTGATCTTGTGTGTAATTGACCTATATAGCTCAGCACATTAAATATGTACGTGATTATGTGTGTGTTTCTACCTGAGGGGAGAGAAACTGAGGCACTTGAGCACGTAGACTAGGCTGGGAGGAGCTGAGAGGTGGCACTGGTGGCTGAGGAGGCTGCTGCTGCTGCTGCATGGCCCGGGTTTGTGCTGCTCCACTACTGCCAAACATTCCACTGGGTATCTAAACGCAGGAGTCATAAAGGTAAAGAGGAAACTTCTTTCAATCCTCCATGTTTAAAGAATCGACTAAAGCGCTGAAGAGCTGAGCCACTGACTTCAGTGTATTCTTGACCACTCAGAATACCTTAAGAGTAAGGTCAAGAGTTGACCACCCAACTGTCAAGTCTTTATCCATTTGATGGGTTCATTCAGTACATGAAGGATACTTGAATTGAATGAGAAAGTGCACTCAAAAGCAAACCTTGGGTCGATTACATTTCTATCCCACATAGCAATACCTAATAACATTTCAAAGCATTTTCTTTCAAGGTCTATCTTCACACTACACCCGGTCCATATTCTGAGCACTAACAGAGCAGCTAGTTGTTAGTTCATGAAATTGCAACTATTTTCTCCATTTAACACTTCATCAAGTGGCCCAATACAATCAGCCCTTAAAAGGAAGCTTAATCCATCATTTCTGATTCAATGTTGTTCGAGAGGTCTTTTCTTTCAGTGCAAAAAGGCCCGCTCACAGTGCCTTTGTTTGGGCTTCAAGGACACACTGCAATTTTTTCTGGGCCATGAATGCCTCTGGGGTGATATTTGATAGAGCATAACTATCTGATTACAATGGGCACTTCAGGCAAGGTCATTCACATATAAGTGAGCAGTAGAAAAGTGGAGACTCGGGAGAGCATGTGGGTTGAGAGGGTTGTGTAAAATGAATTAAATGTATCATTTAATCATAAACCCTGCACAAGTCATTCAATGTTTAAATGATGGCCATACATCTGCAGTGTGATAAACATAGATGGTTGATTGAAATATTTAGCATATTTGCTGACACAGTCTGTCAGCAAATATGTTCAACACACGTAATTCCTAAAAACTTACATTTCTTTCTCCTAAACTGGGAATATTTGCCCATTTGCTATCTGTTTTTTATTTTGTTTTTTAATTAAGAACTGTTTCTTCTACACATTAAACAAGAGGGAAATGAACCAACTTAACAACATGTTGCTGCTGTTTGTATTCATGCCCATGCTCTACAATATGGTTTTACTGCAGCTCTGTTTTATGGATTGTGTAACACTTTAAATGGGTGTTCTCTTTCCCAATTTAAGTTAGGTGATAGTGTGTGTTATAACTGTGTGTGTTCAATATGTTACCTGTCTGTTGTTCAAGTTTTGCATGGCCAGCCCTGGGTTGCCCTGTCCCAGACCCTGCCCAGGAAGGCTACTGTTGGCCAGGGGGAGCTTCATGCTGGGGGAAGGCAGAAACGGTGATTGGGGGGCTTCATCTGACAGAATACCATCCTGGATCAGAGAAAATAAAAGGTTTAAGGGGATTAATAAGACTTAACACATTTTTTTATTAAGCAATAAACACATAAATATGAACTTGATTCGATTATCAGATGATGAAATCATTTCAACAGATGTTGGGAAAAGGCCTGATGGCTGGTCAGTTGCTTAATGTCTAACCTTGTCAAGATAGGAGTTGCGGTCGGAGGGGTCTTTGGAGAGTGCTGAGGGCCGACACACCATGGGCTTGTTCATGCCGTTGCTGTAATCAGACATTCCCATGCCCCGCTTGTCCAGGTCTGTCTTCTTCTCCAACAGGGCGCCTGGGAACAGGAAAGAGGTAGATTGATTATATTATAAATCTAGACGTAGAGCAATACCGTGGCACAAAATCCAATGAGAATATTTCAATGTATTGATGTGATGGAATTCTGGCATTTGACTGTAAGTTGTAGTATTGCAATACACACACAAGGACACAAGTATGTGCAAACTTACTCATGGCCTGGTCAAGGTTCATGTTGTTGCTCTTCAAAGCCTCCTCAGCAGGGTCTCTCTGTAAAACACCAATAACAGTCCTGTCACTGACAATAGTGGATTTTTAGGAAAGGTTCAGAGGTTTCCCTTTTTCCTGTTACTTTTGTATTATTGGTGGCTGTATTTATCATTGGATGGTTTAGACCCCCCATCAGTTTCACGACTTACCGGAAAGCCCATGTCAGTGAGCTGTTTAATGAGACGGTTCATGATCCAAGCCTCATCTGGCTTGCCTATCTTCGCCTAAAAACACACAAGCAAAGTATTAAGTTATAGAAAAGTTAATGTACATGAAATTAATTACCACCAATAAAAAGTATATTTATGACAAGAGTCAGCTGTGTTCTCTCACCTTGCTTGGGCCTTTCTTGGGTCCATTGCCCCAGGAGTTGCAAGAAGAGCTGCTCTCCTGGGAGGTGGGGCTGTTCCACATGTCCCCCTCCTCAGTGTCCCATTGCCCGGACGACATGCCCATCTCCTCTCCTCCATTTCCCCAGCTCTCTTGCATAGGTTTTGGGCCTAAGAAAGTGATTAAATAACATGACCATAAGCATTTAGTAAGTATCTATGTTGGATCATATATGCACTTTAATAATACACAAGCCATTCCAGAGTGTGAGACACAATTCATTTTAAACTTGACCACTTGGTGGCGCTGTTGCCTTTTGGTACCCTGCCTTTTCCCCTACACCTCTCTCTACTATTTCCAACAAACTAACAGCACAAATAACCAAGATGTGCTGAGGCGTGGAATTGCTTTCATCCCAGCAACACTTCAGTAGCACTAACAAACGCTGGCAGAATTGGCACACACGGTAAAGGTCTGAGGAAACTTCCTATTTTTGTCCCCTTCACTGAAGTCTGGAAATGCACACTTACTCTTAGTTACGTCTTTTAAAAAAGGTTTGGTATATCTTAACCCAAATGTCAAATGCCATTATTGCCAAGGTGATGTTAATGATAATACATTTATTTTTATTTTGCTTTTACAGGTGCTCAAAGTCGCTTTACAGAGGTAGTAAAAAATAGAAAAGGACAACAATTAAATATAGTAAGAAATCACATTAAAATCAAGCAATAAAACAATCACACATTAAAAGCCAGTTTGAAGAGGTGAGTTTTTGTACGTTTTTGTGAAGGGGTTTAGTTTAGATGTTTAGTTTTGTGTGGACCTTTTATGGTCAAAAGTACGTCTTGAACTATGTAATTAATACATATATATGGTACTGTTTCACACTTTACAATGGTAATATAGCAACCAAAAAATATGTGTAAGTTAAATTGAAAACGTATGGTGCCATAGCCTTCGAAATTGGTACATGTTGATTTCCTGTGGTACATATTGCATCACTGTTAATATAATTCATCTGTGGGTGTTACCTGGCTTGCAGGGTGCAGAACCTGTGGGTCCATTTGCCCTGCCGTAGGGTCCAGAGGGCTCGTGGCCACCATCTCCCCATCCTCCTGCTCCCCCTGTGGACTTGCCCCAGGCGGAGGTGCCATTGTCCACAGATGATGTTGGAGCTGCTGGCTCTCCCCAAGCAGGTTCTGACTTGGGCTGAACACTGGGAACCTCTCCCCAACCTGGAAGAAAGAGGTGAAATAGATTTAGTTAGAAAATAAATTCACTGCTGAAACTAACATTTTCATTGACTAGTAATTTTCCCCCTTAGGACATTGAATTAAAGACACAGTTTAAAACACCCTGAAATCTGTATCACATAATTATATAATGATAATCCAAGTACCTGAAATAATCATCATTGTGGCATTACAATGCTTTTCAGCTTTGATAGTGAAATGCCGTCTACAGTACATAACTATCTATACTATAGGCTTCAGTACAGATGGGAAATAAGGTATAGCTGTTCTCAGCATAAGTATGTCTTAAGGTGGCCATGATGCATTTTAGTAGCTGCAGTGTAACTGGTAAACAGCAGGGGGCAATGTTTTCATTCAGAATTAAAAAGATAGAACTTTGGGCATAAAGCTGTGCTATGTCTACATGCATGGCCTTTGTCTTAAAATGTGTATTTGAACAGGCTGCAGAGCTAACTTAAGCTTGTTGTAAATAATTACAGTGAGATATATATATTTTAAAAACATTATTTTAATGGAATAACGATCGCTGCCAACAATGATATTTATTAGTCCTTTTGTAAATCGATTGTAGAGTAAAAAATAGTTAAAAAATGAATTGTGCTCATAATCAAGTAAAACATGTCAGATCATCAAAAATGTGGATTCAAGAAAACATCAAGCTTTTAGGTTATTTAAGGAAAATCTGCTTAGTAGATCAATTCTGCATTTCTAAACATCTCTTATGTTTTTAACACAACAGCAAAGACATACTGTTACCTGGGTTGGCGAGGGGGGGTCTACCCTGGGGGCCCACGCCTGGATGTTGAGTGCCATTGGTGGATGACCCATTGTTGTTTCCATGATGTTGCAGGTGAGTTGGGGGCTGGATATGATTGGGCTGGCTATGATTGGGATGGTGGTGCATGTGGTGAGTGTGATGGTGATTGTTGTTGCCGGGGCCAACTGAGTGATTGTTGTTGTTATTGTTGGGGATAATCACTCCACCATTCTTACTGGGAGGTGGGCCGCTGTTGCCTGGATTATTATTGGGTTTGTTTCGATCCCACATGTTGACAGCCTTGCTGTTGGGGGCAGGATTGCCGCTGTTGGGCGCAGGATTGCCGCTGTTGGGCGCAGGATTGCCGCTGTTGGGCGCAGGATTGCCGCTGTTGGGCGCAGGATTGCCGCTGTTGGGCGCAGGACTGCCCCAGGTGGACGTTCCATCATCTATTTCCATCTTCCTGCGCATGGAGGGAGGGGAGGGCTCTTCCCAGCCACTGCGATCCATGCCCTGCTCCTGTTTGCTGCTATTGCCCCAGCTTGATGGGTTCTGCTTCACAGTACCAGGACCACCCCATGAACCCATACTGCCACCTCCTCCACTGCCAGTGCTACTGCTGCTGCTACTGCTGTTATTTTCCTGGGGCTTGGAAGAGCCCCAGCCTCCCTGCGCTGGGCCATTGGCATGTGGGGTCTCCCCCCAGCTGTTATTACTCACAGTAGGAGCAGGTTTACTCCAGTTTCCTCCTCTATTTCCTCCCCTGGGGCTTTCCTTCCATCCACCATCTCCACCACCACCTCCACCACGTCCACCACCTCCTCCTCCACCACCTCCTCCACCACCACCACCACCACCACCACCTCCACCTCCTCCATTCCCTCCTTCTCCTTCCCACATGCTGCTGGAGGATCCATTCTTCTTGACCTCTGTCTGTCCCCAATCCCCTGTACTGGAGTTAGTGGGGCCCCCATTACTATTGCCCCATCCATGAGAGCTTTTAGGACCCTCTTCCCAGCCTGGGTTAGTGTTAGGCTGACTTTTTGTCATGCCATTGTCCCAACTGGGTGACTTGTCCTCAGAACCCCAGGATGATTTGCCTCCGTTTCTAGGAACATTGGTAGGCAAAGGTTCGCCCCAGCCACTGGGACCACTAGTGCCATTTGGCGCCTTGCTGTGTGACTGCGGTTGGTCCCCCCATCCTGATCCAGTCTGGGTAGGCTGAGGCGGATTGGCTCTCCAGCCAGAGGATGATAACCCTTCACTGTCATTCTTTTCTCCAGACCCAGACCTCTGACTGGGGCTAATTTTTGGATTGATGGTACCTCCAGTGTTGGATGAGGGTCCACCAGTGGATTTGGAGACTGCCATGGCATCTGAGCAGCCTTTTCTCTTCTCATCATCAGAGTTAGCTTCTTCCATCTCCCATACAGTGTGCTGTCGAATGGGGGTCTGTCCCCAACCCGTGTTACTCAGCACCCTAGGGTCCAGATCCTGCCGGGGTAGAAGAGGGGTACAATCCGTGCTGGAGGTCCTGTCTCTGTGGTCAGTTTGACTTTCGGTGCTGTCCCTACTACCCTCACTTTCTGGGGCTGGTCTAGGCTGCTGGCCCCATGAGCTAAGTGGCGGTTCTTTGACTGAACCAGAACTACCAGCGTCTACTGAGTCCCAGCCTTTAGTTGCTTCTTTGCTTCCACCAGAAGATTTCCCCCAGTCACCCCAGCCACCACTTCCACTACTGCCACCACCACTGCCTTGGCGGCCCCATGCAGAATGCCCTCCAGACGGAGTCGAGTCCCAGCCGGATTCCTTGGGGGAGTCAGCTGCCTTGGTTTCTCCACTACCCCATACAGAGCTGCCTGTTGTGTCCCCATTGAGCTGGGATGATTCAGTGGGGGACTGGCCTCCCCAGCCAGTTAACCCATGAATAGGGCTCATAGGCTCCTGAGCTTGCTGCTGCTGCTGCTGCTTAGTGTGGTTTGGTCCATCAGTGTTAAGGTTAGAAGGTTCCATTTTGTAGGACATGTTTGTGTTGGTTGAAGGGTGCTGTTGATCATGTTCATTGGCACTAATCAGGCCACCCCAACCTCCACCGCCATTCTCTGCACCTCCCATTCTCCCATCTCCCATGTTTCCATTGCCATTAATACCTGGTGGAAGGGATGGGGAGTTTGACACTGCATTAGGGCCAATACCACAACCTCCACCAGCCTCTTGGCCGAGAACAGGCCAGGCTGATGGGTTGGCATTGGGATTGAGGTTCATGTTAAAATTGGGAACCCCCCAGTTATTGGGCATTCCTACTCTACCACCATTCATACCATCTTGTTTCCCATCTGCGCCCCAACCTCTACTACCACACGTGTTGGCTGACCCAGGTCCTGTCATCATGTTATTGTTGGCTTTAAGAGAGGGGTAGTGGGCCGGCTGGCCTGCCGCACCTGTGGCCATACTCAGATTTCTACAACTACTGGTGGTTGTGACAGCACTGTTGTCTGTGTTTGAGCTAGCTGAGCCCAAGGTGCATTCTTGTGCTGCGGTATGGCTGGTGTCACTACTGTGGTTGATGGAGGGCCAAGCTTCCGTGTCACTTTTGTCAATATTCACTTTGTCCCAGCTGTTGGCACTGGAGCAGCTGTCAACTGGCAAAGAGGCTCCCCAATGAGAGGTCTCATACTGGGCAATACAGCCACTCTGGAGGGATATGTCTGAAGAGAAAAGAAAGAGAGAAAAGAGAGGCAAAGTTTAACATAGGAATATATCAAGAAGTAATTGTATAGAGAGAAACAAAAGAAGATTTGAGTCACATAATATGCAGAAATGCAAGAAGAGATTGAGTAACAGGAGTAGACACAAAGAATAGCAAATAAAAATAGGAAAAAAGGTGGTGTGGGGAGGAGGAAAAACATACATTTGGCTAGGCTAAGGGAAATTGTGTAATACAGCCCCCGTAACTCCCGAGGACCAATTTTATCTTCTTGGTTGGTTAATGCTAGCTATCAGGCTTCTTGGCAGGAGATGGTCACACTCGCACGTTCCACAATCTAACACATAATCAGAATGCACAACCAAGCGTGCTACATGTCATATCAGCTATGGCATATCCATATATCCTTGCTTGGTGCAGTCGGCAATACAGAAACAGGGAGATGGAGCCTTTGCTTTCACTTTCTCTTCCATCCTTCATTCCCTTTCCAACTTGTTTCCTCTTTCACGGCAACTGTTTTATCCCTTACTTCCATCTAACTATTTAACTACCCTTATCTATTATTACCCCCCTCCCCTTTTCTTTCTCTGTCCATGTAACCTCCCCTTACTTTCTGCCATCTCTTTCCTCACCCTTTAACTTCCCCCTCTCTCCCCTCTGCTCTCTTCTAACACCCGGCAGTGAGAGGCCCATCCGTCTACATCGTGGCTTCACTGGCTGCGGCTGTGAAGGGAAGCCCAAGTGGAACGCCGCTCATTTATTGGAATGAAACCAGGACGGCTTCTCATCCATCACTCCCTATGCTCCGCCAGGCCTACTCCTCCTCCAACTGCACTAAGAAACCACAAAACACTTCCTTCAAGCTTGTGTGAATTTGTGTGTATTTGTGTGTATCTGCTAGCCTACATTTTGAAATATGCATACCAGCATTTCTATCACAATTTAGGAACTAAGGATTGAATGTAAATGTTGTCCTACAAATTAAAGGCGGTTTAAGCATGATCAAAATTAAGTATTCTCAACAGTTCCCTTACCAACATGGTATCGCACACAAGCAATTTCATTTGGCACAAAAGCATCCCATAAGAGGGGGAACTAATTATAGACTGATTCGATGCTGTAAAGGGGTAATCTATCAGTGGGAGGCAGCTAATCAATGATCTTATTAATGCTAGTGGATGAGAGAAGGGAGAGTATCGATCCAGCATGCAAACATTCTAACCACTGGGCCAGCTTCATGTAATGGGCTGAAAACCAATGAGAACAGCTAGGAGCACACAAAAAGAGCACAGGATAACAAAGGATATAAAGGGATGTATTCATCAAATAACTCTTATAAGGAGAAAGGAAAATTAATGTGTATCATATACCAACTAATATGTGTGCATGAAAGCTAGATATTTATCCCAGTATGAGTGTTATTAAACATTTCTCAAATGTTGATGTCTTAGTAGTGAAACAGCAGACACATTACTGCATGTCTTCTAATGCAAATATAGTTCCTTATGGCAAAAGACATGCCTCATATGTCTTTTGATGGTTGTAATGCATTCAACATGAGCACAGTGTGATGCCAGACCATATACAACACATTCAGTCTTTTCCAACAAGCATTGGAAGTCTATTAGACAATAATACATTTCTGGCTACCCTCCTGAGCTGCTGCAGGAACCGTGCCTCACTAACCTTTAATTAGAAGACCCATGGCTGTGTTTAATAACGAGAAGGGAAATGTTTTACAAACTGTTTTACCTCCCATTACTATTCCATTAGTTTCAAATCAGATCGTTGCTGTGATTTCCATAATAGCTATACGTTATCCATCATGAGATAAAGACCCAGTGGTCAAAACAATCCAGTCTGGAAAGTCTATTTGTTTGAGGCATACGCGCAGATATGTTGCTTTAAGATACTGTGCAACACACCACTCGGTGGCTGTGAATGCAATTTTCATCTGAACACACTTATCTTCACTCCCCAGGCAGCCTTATCGCACAGTGTCGTCAGAGTGATGGCTCACACACGCACGTACAGACACCAGTATGCAGTCATTTGGCAATAAGTAGACCACAAAATAAACAAATAAAACGTGAAAAAGTTAAAGGCCTGATTTGTGATTGTATGAAAAATGTCAATAGTAGTCCAGACAACAATAAACCTAGTCCAGCTTGCACATAAACCTGTTAAATCAAAGCTTGATTACCAATTGTTGCTGCCTGGTGTCCTAGTGACAACAAACTAATATAGCTTTAAGGAATAATTGTAGAAGATATTTAAGGGACTTAGAATGTAACTCCATTATATATGAGTGTCAAAGATAATGGATAAAGTGAAGGATGACATCCATAGTGTTAATTTTTGTGTATAGGAAAGTAGTGAATGTTTATTGAGTGCAAGAGATTTCACTATAGCTGAACTCATTGAAGTCAACTGAAGGCATTTTCTGTACAAGGACAACATTATATGTTTAAATGTATCTCCGGTATGTACACTTACTTAGTCTTTTTCTTAAATAAATCTAAATGTATTTTTCTTTTGTTTGGACTTCCACCAACATAGTGATTTATGTGTATCTTGTTAAACAAAGCCTGGTTTGGAACTATTTCAAGTCTATTGAATTTGGCGCATGCCTGCTAAGGCCAGTGGGTGTGAACAAATAAATAAAATATCTATCTTTCTCTCAGTTATATTTGCAAATGTTCTCTTGTTACATTATAAGTGCATCAAAGCCTGGAATGCAGCCATCTCTTTAGCACTCCTGTCACAGACACTGCGAGAAACCAACATTTAACACAAAAAAACACATAAAAAGGGAAAAAAAGGAATGTGTGTTGCCTGTGTTCTAAAAAAGGGGTCATCCAGGGAGAGAGTGGAAAAAGCGATTACACAGATGTCTTCCATGTCTGCAAGCTAGCTACCCGGTTGTTTCTTAAACCAATAGTATGTGGATTATGTGCAGGCATTAGTGGAACTGTGTGCAGTGTATATAGAAAATGTGTGCAGTTATGTAACATTTTAAGCTCGACCAAATAAAGATTTGATGTGAATTATTTAATAGTTTTTTTCTCTAGACAGTATTGGTGCTAATGCTATTGAGTCTACCCCTTTAAATATGTACATGCTGTGTGCCTGTATGGACTAATGCAGAACAGCCTCTCTCCTTTCACCTCAACATGCACTGATTGTTCGCCCCTCGACTCCCTCCCAAACATTCCAATAGAAAGGTCTGACTGATTCTTGGCAAAGCAGCGATATAGCAGGGGGAGACGAGAGCAAGCTCAACATGAAAAACAAAGAAAAGGGGACAGTTATTTCCATCCACCATTTGCAATCATGTGTCAGTAATGTGGTGCTGCTTTCAGTCTGCATGCAATTAGGAGGGCAGGCTCCTATTATCCTTTGTGAATGAAAAGGGTTTCAAAAAAACGACGGGTTCCTTTCCCTTCCTGCTTGTCATGCACCCAACACTGAGCAAGGTTCTTTATTTTGGTATATACGAGTCTATGCATGAAGATACAGCCTTGCTCTCTTCATATGAGAAATAATAACAACACATTCCTAATGATGAGCACGCACACATTGTTTTTGCTCGAAAAGTGAGAGACAACAGCAACAACACATTGAAAACTCGAAGCCAGCTTGCCAGAGTTGAAACAAAGATACGCATAGATCTTCGAGATTGAAACGAGCTGCCATCATAGAAAATGGGCAGGTAGCCAATAATTAAATGCCTCTCCTCCCCTTTAAATTAAATGAGGGGCAGGGTGAGCGCAAGAGAGAGTTGTAGGGAGAGATGGAGGAAAGTATTGGGGGAAGGGTTGGCACTTGCAGTGGCAAGGGAAAAGAAAGGGAGACAGTGGGAGAACATACATGAACAGGCTATAAGAGATGGTGAGACAAAAACTGGAATGCTTCATTTCACTGTGAGCCCGAGACTACACTTCCATTTCTCACTGCAAAACATGGGATGACATAACACCAGAACCAGAGGGGACATTTAGTAGTCTTTTGTCCCCAAATAGACCCTCTCCATCTCTCTTTGAGGGGTGCTTTACGCCCACTCGGATCAAAGACAGCATGTACTTGTTTCTCCGGAAGCAGGGAGGAAAAGAAAGAGTAAGGAAATGGTCACAGGAGGCTTTAAAAAGCTCATTATTCATGTCTGTTTACCTCTGCTTAGAGAAGAGGAAAAAAAAGGGAGAGTGAGATCATTGTGACTTCTCTGGTTTCCCTGACAGAGGCTGGATTAATTAAGCCACTAGGGGGTTCTCTCACTTGTGTGTGAATGTGTGAGTGTGTGTGTCACAGCCATCCACATGGGGCAATCTATACCTCTCCGGCTTCATTATGGCAAAGTGCTCTTGTGATTATGATTTTAAAACATACAAGATTTAAGTGGAGGTTATTTTACATCTCAAGTGTACCAAGGTTGATGAGGCAGATCTTCCTTTCCTTAAGAAAGTACTTGAAGAAAATAACATGTTCTAAAAAATGTATTCGATTTTTTCAAATTACAACCTATATTTTAGTTAACGATTTCAAAATACCCATTTTAACTTAAAGCGACACTCTGTTCCATCTCCACATTTAACTCAAATAAGATATGCTCCAATGCCCGACTGCTTTACCTGCAAAACAAAGAGAGCCCGAGTGAAAGGGCTAAGTGTTTTAGCAGCACCCGGCAGAGTGCCTTCTGGCTATAAGCTGTGTCTGGGTGACGAGCAAACAGCTGTTGGGCTGCAGTTCCCACAGTCTTAAGAGACCCCCACTCAAGCACCTGCTACTGGGGAGTCTGTCTGGACGGCTGCTGGCTGACGGCTACTTAATGGTCCCCAGTCAGCTGGAGAGACTGGGATGGTGGGGGTGATGCAGGGAGGGAGAGGGGAGAGGGGACAGGGGGTCTCTGTCTGCTGTTGGGGACACTCAAAAAGGGTTTGGAAAGCGGAGGTTAGGTGGGAGTGGTGTGACTGCCCTTGAATTTAGAGGGGGTTGCCTTTCAGACTTTGGGGATGGGGCGGTGTGTGTGTGCTGTTCCTGCTGGAATCTTATAAATCACACACAATTACATTTAATAGGGCTTCTAAATTAAATCAGTAGGATTTTTCTGAACCAAATAGAGGAAAGCAACGAAACAAATGGGTCAAAATAAATTCATTTAAGCACCTAAGGATATACTGTATACCGAATAATACTGCAGTATGAACTAACATGCGTGTGTGTGTGTGTACCCTTTAAACCCTGAGCCAGCTGGCCTGCAAGGCAGACACAGATCTGAGAGGACACAACTAGGTCAGACTAGTGTGTTCTTCCTGATGTGTATCCACTACATCTATCCACATGTGTTTGTGATTGCATGTGCACAAGTGAAAAAGTTCCTGCTTGAACATTATCACGTCCCTTTGGGCCACAGTCACCTCCCCAGAGAGGTCAGAACAATGTCCTCAAAACAGAGTTCATCCCTCACTTACAGTTACACTAAGGAAGTAAACGTATGTGTATTTGCAGGCAGGCTGCATTAAATAATACATGAACATGATACTGGGATTTTGACAAAAGTAGACATTTAGATTCATAATATGGCAGAAATTATTCTCTTGCGTGGGATAATGCTGTACATAATTCTTGACTTGAAGATCAACTTAATTCCATGAACTTTGTTTAAATGGATGAATAAGTTCAAAACACAAATTGCAAATGTGTAGTCTTCCAAACATAGAAATCATGCAACAATAAGATGTTCTTTTTAGGTTCTTTTTCAAGCTCTTCTATTACAAAAGTAGTAGTTTGTGTAAATGAAGCAAAAAGCCTTAACCTTCTAGCACAGGGTAGAAAGTTTAGCTACAATGTCCACTCTTTAAATTATGCATGCCAGAATATTTGCAACAACAGGGCCACTAGCTTGCGGCTATTACTGGTGCAGACAGGATAGAACAGGCTGGGAAGGGGGAGCCCTTGGGTCAAGAATGAGAGGGGAAGGGCCCCGCCGCAGGCAGTGTTGTAGTGAGAGGCCCCTGGGAAAACCAGGGCGAGGTAAAGGATAAACAGGATAACCAGCGCTGAACTATGACGATTATAAGGACAGTATAGGTTAATAAACTGAACAAGGCGAGCTTTCTGAAGCCATTACTTTATTTAAATGTGAAGGCTTATAGGTATTGCTTCTCTTGAGAACGATAAGCCTGGACCACATTCTGGGAAACCCTGTACTCTGCAAAATAAAACAGAGTGGTCCTACTTATTACTAAAATGTTGTTTGTGAAAGGCTCAAAGAAAGCTGTATAATTCAGTCTTATTTATCTTTCATCATATGGACTACTAAATACACAAGACAAAACACACAACTCTTAACATATTCAGGCATCCATATTTGTTTGAAGCTGGGATTAGTGGCATAGGCCCAAGTACAAGAACATCAGCGACTAGACGGAGACTAGGACCGGTTTCCTCTGTGATGGCTGCTGACTAGCAAGCCTTGCACCACAGCTGCTGCAGATTTATTTACCGAGTACCTGGTGTTGTTCCAGCAAATGTTGAGACAGTAATGAAAGGCAGAACAGAGTAGCAAAGGAGCACTGATGAAAAGAAAGAAAGATAAAAAGGACTCTGGAGAGAAGAGAAGCTCAACAAAGATGTGAGCAGATTCTCATGCAAGCTCCTGCTAACCTGAACATGAAAACACTGCGTGGCATCCTACAGAAATATCTTTGCATCTATTCCTTCAGAGAGACAGAGTGTTGTGTTAGAGGATGTGAGGAGCATCTTTGTGTCTGTTGACATTATTAAGCAGATGGTTGTGATTGGTTTACAAAGGAAAACCTTGCACATGCAAAAAGCAGAAATAATGATTAAAGAAATCAAAACATCTCGCGTGTGAAAGCGAAAAGAAACACCGAAGTCAATAAACTGAGAGAAAAATAAATGCAATAATGATATAAATAAATCATGGCCATCTTTTATCACCCCATTAGTTGCATACAAATACACCCAAGCAGCCACACAATGAGCACCTTAAGGCAGGTTCAGTATTAGTGATCTTAGGGGCCACCGGTGAGTTCATTAAAAGATTACCGCTGGCTACAGAGGTCTGAGACTGTGTGCACATTAATGTGTGTGTGGCTGAGTCTAGCAAAATAAGGCTTAAAAAAACGAACTATTTTCTTCTCAATTAGACTTAAACATCTAAACAAGATTTTTCCAAGGCTTTTAAATAATTTACCGTTTATTATTCCTGGTGTTAAAAGCACCGGGATCCAGACCAGCACACTCTAATAGCACAGACCCTTGGAAACACGCATTTAGCTATCTGAATCCTTTTAGAATGCCAAGGAAGGGAAACATTGAAAAGCAGAGGTAGCAGCCATTTGTAAATTAGTGTAGACTTGAGTCTTACATTTTAATTTGGTTTCAAATTGGTCAGCTTCCTACATAATTTAGGAGCTGCTGTAGCTCATCATTATTTACACTGACAGGAAGTGAAAGTGTGCCTTTAAACTACAATTATAATCACCATAATTTATTATGCCCATAATGCAGTTAATGTCTCAATGCTGCCTTGCATACCACTGTATATGTGCCAAGCCAATTTCACAACATTTGGGGAAGTCAAAGTGAGAAGTATGAGGCAAAATGATCGATTTGTATGAAGTTAAAAAGGGTGAACATTTTGCACACAGCCACCACAAAAGCTTTAAATAAAAAAAAAAGGGATGACAAATTTAAATCAGGATATGTTCCAGGGTATTTTTGTTTTCACTGTATTGACACCAACCTGGGTGGCGTTTGCTCGCAGCGGACGTGGCAGAGTTTGGGGAAGTGCTGCCGGTAGTCGTAGAAGAAGAAGAATAAGATGATGAGGGCGAAGAGGAGGAGGAAGAGGAGAGGGTGAGAGCGCTGAGGGCTCCTGCAGGCAGTGGCTGGCCTCTCTTCAGTAGCTGCTTGTGCTCCTGCTGGCGGAAGCGGGGTGGCACCTCTCTGGGCGGGTAGCGAGCACTGGCAGAGGACAACTGGCACTGCTGCTGAGGGGGGGTCTGAGTCTGGAGCTGGCTACTGGAGGAGGCGCGCTTGCCATTGCCAGAAGAAGAAGAAGAAGAAGAAGAGGAGGAGAGGGGCAGCGTAGGGCTGGCAGGGTGGAAGTGGCGGGGGGGGCCGGGACTGGGCTTAGTGGGAGCAGGGTCTGGCACTGGATGGATACAATACACAGACACACACACAGACAGAAAGACACACGCAGGTAGCAAGGTATTAATGTCTGGGTCAACTCTTTTAGTCCTTTATATAACAGATATTACATTTGGCTGATATCTGACAACTTGTTCCAAAGAAATAGTAACTCAAACTTTTTGTAAGAGAGAGAGGATATAAATCCTTTATTTGAAATGCCTCTAAACAGTGACGTTTTCCTATGTTGCCGACGTTAAGTCAGTCCAGTTCATGCAGTCTCCAGACATGACATTGTGTATTGTATTTGTTGTATAGCATTCTGCAGGTGTTTTTAATTTGTATGCACTGTATGGTGCTGTGGACTGTCCCTTTAAGTTAACCGCCTCATGCAGCTTTTTATCGAACATATGTTACCGGCCCAGACGCACTCTATGAAAAGGTCATATTTTTATTCTGCTGACTGAACACAGACACACATAAACACATAGAGACACCTCCTTTCCTCCTCATTACACAGTCTTCTCTTGCAACCCCACACACACACACATACACAAGGACACTCACACACACACCTTTCCCTGCTGGTTTGGCCTCAGCCTGGCCCTTTCCCTGTGGTTGAAGTGACCAGCCAGCTATCTAATTGAGTGTTAGCCTGAAAGGTGTTATTATTAGTAGGATCTGGACAGCTAGCATCAACCAGATTGGCTTGTCTAACATTTCCTCCCCACGTTGCAGAGAGAAGGAAAAAACACACCGTCTGACCTATACACTGAATACTTCTTTATTAAGCTGGAGAGTCTGTTGCTGCATGCACCTAGGAGGAAACCGAACTAGGTCTGATTAGGCACCACTCTACCTGAGAGGTTCCTGCTGCGCACAAACAGCTGCTTTCATAATGCCTGCCAACTGCTAGTGACCTAAAAGCTGCCGTGAATTACAGTTTCTTGGTCCATGGCTGAATGCATGATGAATAGAGCTGATGATGTTGTTTTCTCTAGTCCCTAGATAGATATGCCTGTTCTACACAACAGCTGAGACTGCCTTCACTCAGGGGAGCCGAGAGAGACGAGGGGACACAGGTTGTGTGAGTGTGTGTAGAGAAGAGGAAGGGGGATGTTTTTTTTTCTTCTTTCAAACAATGAAATAGTGGCAAATTGATGGCATGGAAATAATGTTTTCATTAAAGCTTCACTCTGTCCAGCATGATAACTATTCCTATAGCAGGCCTGTACTGCAGTGCTGGCAATTACCCACAAAGTAACACACAGGCCAAATCTGCCACACTGGAGGTTAAAGTGAATTCAGAGGGCAGAGGTATTCAATGTGTCTGCCAAAATCTTGTGGAAAAGCGGAAAAAAAGGGCTCTCGGTGAGCACAACAATAATCCAGATGGCTGCCTACCTGCTGTTTCTGACAAACAAACAGAAACATTTAAGAAACTTGAATTTGCAGACAAAGCCAAAATATAACTATTTATATGGATAACCTCACATGTTTTTCTTCTAGTCATACCTAAAGATAAGCAAATCTCCACGTGTATAAACGTGTGGGCCTCTATGTGTTTCCTCAAAAGTTCAAGACACAAAAAAGACAGTTTCACAATTGTTTTTACCCCCTTTGACTGATGAAGTTTTAGTGAAACACACATACAGAGAGGGGGAGGGAGAACGAGAGAGAGAGAGAGAGTGAGAGTGTGCCCCCTCCAGCAGTAGCTGCCTGGCTGTTGGCTTTGAACTGCAGCTGGTGACGCACATCTCTGATTAAATTCATGTCGGCCCGCCTGACGCTGCCTCGTCCAATCAGACAGCAGGACAGTGAATGCACGCTGCCCTGCCCCCTCCCTTCTCTGTCTTTCCATCAGCAGCTTGCACCATATCCTCACTGCTCCATCTCTCTCCGTCTCCCTTTCTCTTTTCTGTGCCTACCTGTCTCTCAGCCTGGCGTTCTCTTCCCACTTTGTTCTTCTCCCTCTGGGCCTTTATCCATCTTGATCCTTTTTCTCCTCCTTCTCTCCCTTGTCTTGTTTCTGTCTTCTTACCTTGCCATTTCCCTGATTCCAGACATCAATCTCCTGACTCCAAATGACTACCTCAGCCCAGAGTCTTTCTCCCAGCTTTCTTTTTCCTTCATCTCTTCCAACTCCAACACATGTGTCTACTTGGAACACATTGTGTGCCCCTCTCTACTGTGATGTGCTACTATAGAAGGTTTTGAGAAAATGTTTGAATAAACCTACTTATCCCTGATTAAGTCAGATTTGTAATGGCTCATGAACAACCATGATGCAGTGTGCACCAGGTGTTGCTCACTACTGAAACAGAAGCCGAGATCAAATGGGTTCAGAATGCATGCATATTAGGTGCACATAATGGTTGTTATAATGCGGTTTAGACCCAGAGTAAGGACTTTCATTTCAAATGTAAATGATAGTTCATGTACCCAAGTACTGACTCGTTGACAAGCAAAAAACACAATTAAAAATAACTGTATTTACCAATAGTTTTGGTGTACGAAAATGTCTTTCTTAGCAGTACTTCAAAGATGGGCGTTTTGGTTCTCTGCCTCTTTTGATCGACTTCCCGACAAACATCAAAGTAACATAACAGTCTGCAAACAAAAGGAATTCCTTCTTTACCACATCTTTGCAATTCCAGAGCTCCTGAGATTTAGTCTTAGTTCCCTGAACAATTTAGTAAAAAAGACACATAAGGAAGTCACTCAGTCAGCTCACTGTTCATTTCTGCTGCCAGCATGGAACAGGAAGCAGATGAACACAAACAAGTCCATTAGCTTTGGTGTGCCTCATACACCCATTGCTTCATACAGCCTGTGTTTGTGTTGTAACAAGAATGTATCCATGCTCCCTGATGTCACTGATGACCACATCTAATATCTGCTGCACAAGCAATGACACAAGTATCCAAAAGAAAGCATGACCCATTTAGAGCACATGGTCACAAACCTATTCAGTAACATTATTCTATGCTCGCAGAAAAAAATGATAAAATGATCTCAAATCTTTCAAGGAAAGTGCTGCCATAACACCATCCAGTTGGGTTATGTGTCACCATCTAAAGTGTAATCTGTATTAAACAAGTATATCAGTGATAATTAGCGTTCTTTTGAGAGGGAATGAGTGTCTGGTTGCAGACATACATACACAAGTGAGAAGAAAAGAAAGTCAGTCTGAATGTTTAAGATGTGAGAAAAGTACGTGAGAGACAGCTTCTCTCTGCCCCAAAGAAAAAGGAAAAACATTTACGGCAGACTGAAACATGTCTTTTATTTTGAGGAGGAGAGATCTTTTCTTAATCCATAATGGATGAGTAAATGCTTTTGAAGAGTTGGCGGTTAGAAAAAAAGACTATTAAGGGGAAAAAAAGAGAAAAGTGGGGAAATCCCTTAGAAAAAAGTGTGTAAGGAAAGTGAAGAGCATGCTGGTCACACCTACTGCAAGTGAAAGGCAATTGAATCGACACATTTAATTAGTTATAGCTTATATAACTGTATGACTTACAGCTTGATTGGCAGAGGTAAATACAGGGATATTAAAGTTACAGCAGAGCAAGTCAGAGTTGTGTTTTAAAAGCCACATTAAGACTCATGTGGTGGTGGCCTTAGCACCTCTAATTGAAGTTGAAAAGGAGAGCCGATTAAATTAGCATTTGTATCAAGTGCACTGTAAATTCCATTAAACCCTCCAGCTGAGGCGCTCTCTGCAACCTTGCACCAAACTTTTAATTACAGCCCTTCTTCACACTAAATGGTTAATTACACACAATGAGAGAGAGAGAGACAAAGAGCAACTGCATAAAAATAGAGAACAAGTGAGCATAGATGAAGAAAATCAAATCATACAAGGCAGAGGGAAATGCATAAATGAATCAGATGTAGAGTTAAACAAAACAAACAAGGCTTATTGGGCAAGAAGGAATGATATCTGCTTTTGTAAACAACGACTGTGGTTAGTTCCCTGCGCCGGGTGCCAGGCAGCGCAGGTTCCCACATCTCTTCTGTCTATTGTCTGCAGAGCCACTTTATTATGCAGCCATGTTTATAGAAGGGGGAGGGAAGGACGCAACACACAGGCCTATATGCCTTACACAATGGTGCATTTCTTAATCCAATAAGAGCTAAGAAGTAGGAGGAGGAACGACAATACAGCATGTTTGTCTGTGTATTGTATACCTGCTGCTGTAGTGGTTTTTAAAGAAGTGCTCAGTTATGTGCATCAATGTTTTATTTTAGCTTATGAAAAAAAAGCATGCCTTATGAGAGCAACAAGGCCCACTTTTGTGAAATAAATCAAATCAAATAGTACACGGGGCAGAGGCACGAATAATAGTTTCTCCAAGTCCATTAAATGCGTGTACTGTGAAAACGATGTTTAAGTAAGTTAAAGAGATACTCCGTTTGGAGTTCATGACCTTTTCTGTATGTCTCACTTCCTTCTGCAAATTCTCTGTTGAAGCAGATTTAGGCTCCCACTCATTTCATCAGCGTTTGACAGCTTCCCCTTCTATGGAAATATAGTAACTTCATTTTGTTCCGCAATCCACAAGATCTGTGACTCCTTTTTGGGGGCACTTGGTTGTTTTTTTACAAGGTAACCAAAAGGATTTTCAGTCACATAAGGCAGATGTATGCACACAAGGGGGGGTGTTTCTCTATGAGGTTCCATCTGTCAGTATTAGTGGGGAAAAACAGACACATCCTCAGTCACATATAACTGGCTGTTGCCATAGAGACTGACAGTTGCCTAACCCACCTCCATTTGCCTTGTGACCCCATGTGCCTCCGGTGACCTCTGACCAAACCACGCCTCTTCCACCCTCTCTCTATAATTATGGTCACCACCCCCACTTCTTAGTGCCAAACTTTTTTCCCTCCCTCAGGTCTCAGTTGGTCATGTCAGCTCTGCCTCTCTGCCCTGTTGAGATTATGACAAAATTGACCAATGAAACCCCTTTTTGCTTTTGAGTCATAATGGAAGTCACTCTCCGAGTAAAGAGCTTTAAGGGTATTACGGCCCCTACACACGGCGGCGTGCGTTGAAGCTTCAACGCTTCTGCCCATTCACTTTGAATGGGGAGACGTCACGCTTCGCCGAACTGCATTGTGGGAGCAAAGCGTAGCTTCATGTGATCAGACATGCCCGCCGGCAAGCTTGAACGCACGCCGCCGTGTGTAGGGGCCGTTACTACACCTCCACCCAAGGTCAGTGCCAAAGGGCAACAACTGCCTGAGGATGGACGTCATTTGAATTTGATAGATATGTAGAATGATGTATGGTATCTCAAACATTGGAACGCTGACATATGAATCAAAGATCTGATCTCTTCGGGGGTCATTGGGGAGTATGGGGATTAACAATAGAACATTGGAGTACTTCACATTTGCAGTCCCTATGTGAATTTCATAGTCGTATGGAATATGACTTGTATTGCATGGCATTATCCCCCTTGACTATATATATGATTAACAGGAATAATCTTATCAAGTCAAATTAAACTGGTATTATTCTTCTTCTGCTGATTCACAATGGCCTGAGGGGACGAGGGGCCCCTATGCAGTCTTACCAGCACTCTTTGAACTTTACATATACATAATATAGGTGAACACCTAGGCCTCAAAGCAAAGGCTGAACTGTCATTCATAACTATAAGTTGAGCTAAATCCTATTAATGTGCCTGGTGTTTGACATGAAGCAGCTCACCATTGGGGGAGCAGGGGGTGATGGGGGTGAGGCACCAAATGGGCTCTCTTGTCAGAAGATTGTGAGCGATCACACACCGTGAATACGCAGAGGAAGCATTGTTCTAGACTTTGCGCCCCTCATTTTTTCTTTCTCTGTGCCCCGTTTCTCTCCTTCCATACCTCACGCTCCTCTGGCACTTGACATGCAGGCGGGGTGAGCACACGGGGGGTAGAGGAAAAACAATCATGCTTGGCAGTCATAAATCCACAGGATGTAATTCACCAGCTATTCACTATTAATTCATTGAGTGTTTATAAATGTGGTTAACAAAAGAGAAAAGCAGTCTGAATGCTAAAGTAAATTAGCCTCTAATTAGATTGCGATTCATGAAATTCCCTTTGAAAAGTGTTGACACAATTAATAGCATGTGAAATTGCTAAATAATCCAATACAGAATTATACGACACACTTGTGTTTATGTGCCTCTCGCCTCTTTGAAAAACATAATGCCGTTATCACTGTGGTGACACCGTGCAAATATGTTTCTCCTCAGATGTGGTCGCCGGAACCGAGCATAACGTCGGCGAAATGAAACAGGCGGAAGAAACAGTGTGAGCAAGACGGCAAGTGATAGACGTGACAGTGACAGGCATTACATTTTTTCTATAACCTTTCAGCGTTGAAAAGTGCGTTCGCAGCAAAAATGGAGATAGCAGATTTCTTGATTATCGGGGTGTGGGATTGAACAGATGCAATGTGGTAATACTGTGGCTTTCTGTGCCTGCGTGTAGTCTCCACGAATTGCATTTGTGTAACTCCCTCTCAACTTAATATTTACGTGTGTGTGTGCATGCTAAAAACAAAATGTGGGTAGTGAAAGACGCCCTTGCTGCTTTTCAATTCTACAATGTAAGCATTTGCTTCAGTCACAGATTAGATTCAAAGTTGCTGAAGAGAGAAATGTGTCTTTTAATATGATTGTGGGACTATAAAAACACACATATGCAGCTTGACAGATACTCGGCATGCAGTCCTGTGTGCGTGTGTGTGTGTGTGTGTGTGTGTCTTAGCATGTGCAAGTTTCTGTATAGTATGTGTAGCATTAAAACTGACTGATTGTGATTGCAGTGGTGGCAGGGATTGTGATGAAGCTGCGTATGTGCTGGGGGTGAATAATCAGCATCCCTCTGAGGTAATGGGGACCAGAAGGGGGGGGAGAGAGGGAGGGAGGGAGGTCCAGTGTGTGTGTGTGTGTGTGTGTGTGTGTGTGTGAGTGTGTGTGTGCGTGTGTGGGGGAGGTGGTACATTGCCTCCTGGAACCCGGCCTTCAATGAAGCTCCATCCGTAATGGGGGGCAGAGAAGTTAATTCCACTGCGCCGAAGCTTTATCTCATTTTCATACATATGAACGCACCGGGCCCGAGATCGATTACTGCAAACAAATTGAAATGCCTGGGACCGAGGGGGGCCCGCGGAGAGGAAAGCAGGAAAAAGGCGATGGCGATGGGGGTGGTGGTGTGCATGTGTCTATGAATTTCTGAGAGTGTATAAGGAAGGCAGAATACTCTGATATGGATGGAAAGACACAAATCACTACTGCATACTGATTTTTCTCCCCACTCGCGTATATACACACACACCTCTATTATTTAGAGTCACGCCTGAAAACTCAACTCATTCCAGTCGATGCCACCTTCCTTTTAAGAGATATTGCAAAAGGGAGCAACCTCAGAGGTCCTGACGGCTCACTGAACGATTAGACTCCAAACAGGCCCTTTTTTCCTGTTTCCTCCATCTTCCTGGCTGCATGAGAAACCACTACATACACACAATCAGTTTCTCATTCAATGTCCCTTTCTCTCTTCATCTCTCATTAAACATACCATAAAACAAATGTCCATGTCATTAGTCCTCTTCTATATTAGCACCGTCATTGACTCCCAACGGTCATTTTTGGCACTCGTTGAAAGTGCTCTCTGCTTCATTACGTTCTTTCCTTGACTTTCCTTCCTTCATTTTTGCTTTTATGTGGCCCCAGAATGCCCTGTTCTACTTCCTCGTTCATACTCTTTTCTATACATACTTTTTCTTGTTTGGAGCCGTGCCCCTGTCAATGGGCCTCTCTCACAGACATAGTTTTCAATATTTCCTCTCTGACTCAGCATTTCCTTTATTGGGTCACACACACACACACACACACACACACACACACACACACACACACACACACACACACACACACACACACACACACACACACACACACACACACACACACACACACACACACACACACACACACACACACATCACACACACACACACACACACACACACACACACACACACACACACACACACACACACACACACACACACACATCACACACACACACACACACACACACACACACACACACACACACACACACACACACACACACACACACACATCACACACACACACACACACACACACACACACACACACACACACAAACTATAGGCCGATCAAAGCACCACTAAGGAAGATGCCAAGCGGCTGTTCACTTTGTACTCTTGGTTGTTTTATTTCAAATCCAAAGTGCTGCAGTTCAGAGCCAAAAAAACTACATTGTTGAAATACTCGGCTGCACTGTCACTACAACTGAATGCATTAAGACGTATGCGGACAAACATACAGAGACATTCACAGAAACAGACACGGCTCTGCATGCTGAGGCCTTAGCTCAGTTTGTGTGACATTTATTGTTGCCCACATAATCATTTGGGCCAAGTGGATCGTCACCATCTGACACCCACAAAAAAAACCTCCGGCCATATTTTAGTCAACAGTATAGGGAGACAAATAAAACGCAGCACTCATTCCTGCCTCATCACCATCATTTGTATCACTAATATACTGCATGGCATTTAAAGTGCAAAAGTAAAGTGGCCTACAGATAAGACTGTGGCTGTTAAAAACAGTGTCCAGGTGTGAATTCCTGTAAAACAGCATTCAAACTCTGCTGTGTGTAACTAACACTTAAAAAGCAGATGCTGTAAACAATAAAATATGCTTGTTCTCTCCTAAAGTTTTCTGTTGATCTCTAAATACTATTTGTGACAAGAACCCTCTGTCAGGGTAATATACTTTTAGATATTTTTGGGTTGAATTATAATAAAGCCTGGACAGGTCGGATTTTCTTTGGCTGAGAAAAGTATCACCGTCTTACATCACTCAAGCATAAGAACAATGGCATTAAATGTATATTCAAAATCAGAAGCGGCAAGCTTTGTGTGGCGGCTTTGAAACTTGGATAATAGGCCAAGCTCACAGTCAGGTCAGTCTGGGGGGGGCAATTAAATAGACAGGTCATAGTACAAGGCAAGCTGTGGTGACCTTTGTTAAACCCAACAGTTACACCCAGATGGTCAAGCTGCTGCTCACACTGCGCGAAGATTAGCACGGGCGCTAACAGACACACTATTGGGATTTGAAGGTAGCTGCTTTGCTCACATTCTTTGCCGTCTTAACCCAAGCCCAATGACGCAAAATCCTTGAAAAGCTTTAGCGAAATCATATCCAACTGTAAAATAATCCTAGGTACAACCGATTCATTATTGTTGATGCAACTGAGAGCAGCAGATGCAACTCTAGGTAACATTTCAATAGTATTTCACAGCAATGTTCTCTTTAGATATATTTGAGCATCTTAAGAGAACACCAAGGGCATGTGAGGACACAGTTCTTTCAGACCCAGTCTTTCTGCATTTCATCTGAACTTCATGCTCTTCTTTTGTTCCACTCTTCCTCCATCTTCCTCTTTTCCCCCCCATCCCCCCATCCCTCCACAAACACCACATCCAGTGTGCTGTCTGGGTGCCCTCACGCTTCACTGCCTGGTGCTGCGGGCGAACAGGGCGTCACTCGGCATCATTCTGCATTAGACTCCACTGTATTAGCTTTGCTGTGTGTGTGCATGTGTGTTTGAGAACATAGTCGAACGGCACAATTGTGCATGCATGTGCAAAATGTGTGTGTCCATCTGTGTAGGAGAATGCTAAATGCTATGTGTGTGTGTAACGCGTGAATAATGTGTATGTGCCTTTACGGGTCAGTGTGCATTAATCAGAGCTGATTAATGCAGATCTGCAGTTGGAATGTGGTTTTAGAAAATCAGTAAGATGAGAGGGTGAAGTGTAATTGATCATGACACTCACCTTTGGGTTTCTGATCAGAAGCCTGCAGGGAAAACAAGTAGAATAGAGTAAGAAACTGAATACAGTGAGTGGAATTTAAACAATTATTCAAAACATTATAACAAAACCTAACCTTTATCTAACCAGAAGAGGGCTAGTGTTAAGTAAAGTGATTGAATAATGTTGTAATTGTTTAGGTCAGTTGTAGTTGCTCTACAGGATGTTTGCTATTTCATTGAAAGCCATTAGTAAGAAAAAGATTGACGGTTTCAAAAAGCACACGTGTATATATAGTGCCATTTACAGATAATATATAATGAACTGTATGTGCCTCAAAATAGATATGCACAGCTTCTTTTATATGTGTAATGTATGAACATGCATCACCTTTTTCTGAGCGACGTCCGTCTTGTTCTTTTCTTCTTGTTTTTTCTTTTTCTTTTCTTCCATCAAATGGTTCTCTTCCTTCTGTCGCGAGCTTCTCTCAGCTGTGAAACAAGAAAGGGAAAGAGTAATGAGTGGAACATGAGGGAGAACGGTAAGGATTCAGCTTAAGTGTCCATCCATTTTTCATTCTTATAATAATGTAGACCCAAACGCATCACACGGTTTACAAATTAAATACATTCAGGCACATTCACAAAAGAAATATACCATTTAAAAATGCACATTTATGTTCGCCAACTCACCCCCTTTGCATATAAACTTTCAACCCCTTCCCTTTGATCCATGTGTAAGCCAGAGCCAAAGTGCACTCTGCATGGAAAAACTTTTCCATCCAAACTAATCACCTCATAAGAAAATCATGTCAGGCACTTCTGGGAAATACTTTCCTTCATGGTCAAAATAATGTGAAAGGAGAAGGTGGAATGAAAAAGGGAAAGGAAAAATGGCACACGTGAATTAAAGAAAGTGAGCTAATGAAGACACTGTAAAGGCCAACAGAATAGGATGCAATGCCTTTTTTTTTTTTACAGAAATCTGCCTTAGTGGGCGTTAGTAGAACTAGGTAGATAGCTTGCCTGAGGACTGGGAAAACTAAGTGCTTCTTTTCAGCCTGTATTTCCTTTAGCTCAGCGTATGTGACTGCTCCTGGAAACTATTATAGGCATGAGCTGGGCCACAGGGAATGAATGAGTGTGCGTTTAGTCATCACTAAGTGCAATGGACACCAATCTATAATACGGCACTATGTCATATCAAATCAATGAAACCACTTTCTAAAATGTGCAACTCCAATCGATCATCTTCATGTCAGTCCAATGAAAAATGGTCTATTGCTATTTGTTAGCCATCCTGCTGAATACATACATGACTGCTTTGTAAAATACGCTATTGTGCTTTACCCTCATGGACTTTTTAAGAATACTGTCCCAATGCTCAAGCAATATGTTGAACGTCATACTTAAAAAAATCTACCCGCCTTCTTGTCAGATAGGAATCGACTTCTATGCCAACAGATATCAGACCAATGAACCATCACCATGGTAGTTTGCCATAACAACAACAGATTATTTGGATTGCATGTACTGCATGTACTGCGTGTCATATTTCTGACCATGAAATGTGTCTTTGAGAGACCTAATAACGTCGGACTGCTTTGATAAAATGATAAACGTGGTCTGACAATTCATCATTTAAAGTTATTCATAAAAAAAAGGTTGCCATTCAAACTGATATTTTGTGATTTTAGACAGTTCATCCGCTGAAAAAGGCAAAGATAATTATTCACAGTTTATGACGTAAAACAAATCCTTGTGAATGAAATTGAACAAAAAATAGATTGTTGCTAATGAAAATGATTAGTTGTAAGATTAATGTGTAATTTCCCTGACATGTAAACTAAACACAACATAAAAATTGTGCCAAGACACGGCCGAGAAAATGAATAATCTGAATGTATGAATGAATCATAACACTCATAACAGAAGATTAATGAAGGCCTAGATCCCACTGTGCTGCCCACTGGCAGGGGGAGGGAGCTGTCTATCAGAAAGACAGGAGAGGCCTCACTGAGGCTCTCTGATGGCGGGGTAATGTCTCTATGGCAGTAAGAGGAAGAAAGAAGAGACAGAGTAGAAAAGGGTTAGACAGACATACAGATGGGCAAGAGACAGAAAGCGGAAGAAAGACATTGAACGCCTGTCAACAGTGAGTTTAGATCCAAACCATGGGGAAGACTGCCAGACTAGTGGCCATGGCAGCAGGGTGAATTCAAAGAAAGGAGATACATCACATTACTGTTTTGCCTCAATCTGGATTTTCTTCTTTTCATTCCCTGTTAATGGTCTCTTTCCACCCCCTCTCTCTCTCTCTCTCTCTCTCTCTCCATCTCTCTTGCATTCACACAGTCCTATTTTTCATACTGAGGAGTCTGTGTTTGTGCGTCATTGTGCCATCTCAGCAGCAATGGGGAAGGCAGCCCTCAGGTGATAAATAGGAGCTTACAGTATGTGTGGGTGTTTGTGTGCATTCAGATAATTGTATGCAGCATGTGAATGTGCAGTAGTCCATTTCTCAGTCATATCTCTGAGCTGAGACACAGCGGCAGCATGCAGGCAGAGAAAGGGATGGGGGATGCAAATGGGAAGAAAGTGGCTTTTGCCATTAACACTGTGCTTTTTATTTTCACCATAAGTTGCAGCGCCTCTGAACTACGATTGACCGTGTCATCGTGATGGTCTCACATTTTAACCCCGATAATATGGTGGACCCAACCTATCCGGTTACTACTGCTGCTGTCACATAGGACAAGGAGTACAAATACTATAAAACCACCACATCCGCACAAGGATATATTTCTTATCTATCTAATTTAATAGGTGTTAATACACTACGAACAGCCGTTAGTATTTTTTTCTTTTTTGTTATTTACTGTAATGTTGGAGGCAGCCGGGTGTGGAATCCAGTTTTGTGAAATGTGAGATACCGGACGGTTGTCTTTTGCGCTGACGTTGTCATTGCCAAAGTTAGCTTCCTCTTGACCTCCCCTGCCCCACATATTTCCTTACCTGCCTCTCCCTGTGTCCCTCCCTCTCACTGAGTACTGCTGACACTAGCACCTCCTCAGCACTGACCCCGGGGTGTTTCTTCGCTGCCACCCAGCATCAGGTTTACCCTCGCTGGCAGTATGACACAGCAATTAGGCAAAATATGTCCTGTTTTCAGGTTACTGACCTACATGGCCACAGTGCGTCTCAGTGTTCTCTTACATTGAAGGGACTTGGATCACCTTACAACATAATGTAGCCAGTAACTAAACTAGTAAGTGCATGCCCTTCTTGCCCTTAAACACAAAACCATTGGAGGATTTCTCATTTGCTACCTTATCCAGGGTTTATTGAGAAGAGAAATATTAAAGCAAGATATCTCTGTATTGCTTTTAGATCAAATACCACAGATAGCCTCAATGAAGTGCAAACTATATACTTCAAAGGCAAGCAAAACTTTTTTTTTTTTTTGTATCATGTTAGCTAGCAAGCTGTTTGCCAATTTCTCTACAGGGCATATGGGTTTTTTCAAAGTTGCAAATGTATGCAAAGCTGGCAGATGCTTCAGTTTGTTGGTCAAAAGCTAAGAACTTGTAAACCACAATGTTTCATCACAAAGCTACTTTGTATTCAGTGCACATATTCTATGTATTCATACAACAAAACATTTAAACAGCATTAGCCATATTATAGTATATCATGTTGAATGTCATAGTATTACTATCGTCCAAATCTCAGTAATACAATATACATGCACATCTCTACTGGGACTGATGCTTTAAGATGCACACAGATATGCACGTCTTTACAGCCAACATTTCTACTTTCCCCTAACATTTATAAAGCAATTCTACCTGAAATACCCCCTTCTGCTCCCTCAAAACCCTAACCTAACAAGTGTTGCTACATTGACTCTGTGGCTTTTCTTAAGAATACAGAGTTGAGTAGGAAAACATCCTAAGTCTAAGCAAACCGGAGCCGCTGGGAAATGTGGAGAAATTGCATAATGAGGTAGTATACTGTCTTCCTGTGCTGCACAAAACAGTTCCATATCCTGGGACTATAGGGCTAAGCTATAGAGAAGGAATCATGACAACAGGAACCCACTGTACAGGAATGAAGGAGCTAGAAACTCACAACACACACTCACACACACACCCAGTCACATAACAACACACAGCTCACGGTTAAGCTTGATGTACACAGGCAGGAGGCAGTCGGTCTGATGTCTGTCTTTTTCCGCCAAGGATGCGGAGGAGATATAGGTGGGAGGAGGAGAAGGGGAGATGAGTATGGGGGGGGGGATGAGAGGAAGGGAAAACAGGCGGAGGATGAAAGCAGACGCAGAGCAACACCAATTAAGAACGACAGCCGCCGGAGAACCAGACATGGCACAGAGAGAAAGAAGAGAGACTATGCTGGGAGAGGGAAAACACAAAAAGAATCCTCACTGGAGAAATGGAGGAGTTTGAAAAAAAAGAAAAACAGAACGGAGCACTATTGAGGCTGGCAGACAAGGAGAGAGGGGGGAGGCTGCGAGGAGGGGGGAGAAAGAGGAACCAGAATATCCACACACCTTGATCGCTAGTATCTAGAGATGCAGGGAGAAAAGCAAGGGGGAAAACTATGCGAGGGTGATAGAAAAAATAAAATAAAAGGTGGAGTAAAAAGAGCTGAGCTGGTGTGAAGAAGACCGAGCGAGACAAAGGAGGAGAGACACAGAGAGAACTTGAAAGGGAGAAGAGATGCGAGGAAAAGCCTGTCAGATCAACCGCAGACACAACACCAATCCCCAAGGATGGAGGAGGAAGAAGAAGAGGAAAGACTTTCCTCTCTCAGCAAAAAAAAAAAAAAAGTATGGTCAGGTTCTGTGGCCGCAGAATGTGGTAAATTCCCTCTCCACCAACATTACCACACAGCTGGCTACCCATTCCTGTGGCATTTGTGAAGCCACGGGGCTCTCCGGAGACTTATTACATGGAACATTTTCATCCTTTACCTGGGAAATAACTCTCCAAAACTTGCTACTGTTGCTCAAGACCTCAACTACTCTCCACAAATGTCTGTGTGTGTGCATTTGTGTTCACTCTACCTGTATGGCTTGGGGAGAAAAAGCCTGTAAATTCCACAGTTGATATGCAGCAATAACATGTTTTTCTGCGAGTGTTTCCACCCCTCAGTCTCACTGGATGCTTGGTTTGTAAGCACTCAGCAACAACCAGCTTTGCTTTCAGCAGGTAGGGAGAGTGGCTTGTGAAGAGATACTGCACACTTTAGTGCTACTAGGCTGGACTTGCTCAATGAACCGTGGCAGAAATATTCTTGGTTGTTGGAATCTGTAGACGAGGGACTGATTGAGGGCGAGCGGGTAGGTGGAGAGCAGCGATGAACGGCGAAGCAAGATAGAGAAAGAAAGTCAAATAATCAGATATTGAGGGAGGCAGACCTGCATTAAAAATAACAGCTTTGAGGTTGGCCTGCAGAAAATTAGCTCCGAG